GATACATTGAAGGTTCTTATGTATAATCCAGTCCTCAAGCTTCATGAATCCTACAAGTGCCAAGTATTAAAAAATTTGATGTTTACAAAAATTTTTATATTTGACAGGATGTAACAGCTTCTGATATTTTATCTTAACCACACAGTCAAAAACACTGAGAGATATTTTCCATGCATTTGAAGTTTTTATGGAATTTGTAGTATATGTCTATCATTAATCTATATCTGAAAACCTAAAACAGAGTTTTGGAAATGCATGAATTTAAACTGACATTCTTAGGGATAAGAAATGTACTTCTGTCCATAATACTACAAGTGCTTTCATTTAAACAAAATGGACATTCTGTAGACATTGCAAATATGGAATAATAAGTTTTCCTCATAAGGATAGATACAATTTTAAGATTCATGCTTTCAGTCTGTGCAGTAAAAGCCAACCATGTTTAAAACGTTTACAAAATAAATAGAAATTTCAGTGATGAAAAACATAAAAGAGTAAGCCAATGGGTTAGTATACAAATGTAAGGTGAGCTTCATGGTCATTGCTATAGAGTGGTGTTTCCCAAAATTGGGAGCCATGGCCCCCCAGAGTTCATGAGGGTATCTTCCAGAAGCTGTAAGAATTTTTAATGGTCTAATTATCATGTGGATAAATTGATAAGAAAAGGCCATATTAAATTGTAAGCTTACAGTATAATAAAGGAAGTACTCAATAGATATAATTAACATTGATCTGTAACTATATTTCAAAATTATTAAATAGCATTTTAAGCTACTTGTATAGTTTGAGGAGACTCAAACGGTATTTACATCAAGGGGGCCTCAGACTAAAAGAGTTTGGGAACCACTGCTACAGAGGGATGTGCATATGTTGCATTCCCAAGGTATGATAACAGTGGAGTGTCTGTACAATGTACCATGGAAATATGTTGTAGAATGCATAAACATCTAGCATTTAGCTTGATGTAATTATGCAGCACCAGTTGTTATGAACCAGCATGAACACAAGTGCAGTAATGTAGGGTAAACCTACCCAGTTTCGTGACATGCCTTATTTTGTGTTATGACATTAATTTTGTCACGAAATTGGGCGTGTTCTACGATTTTAATGGTTCTCCATAGATGACTCCCGTAATGTAGTACCCTGATTTAATCTCACCAATAATATTAAGTGAAGAGTACAAATTTTGAAGCTTGTCATTAAGTAATTTTCTCCATTCTTCTGCTGCTTCCTCTTTGTTTGGTGCAATTATTACATATTATTCCAATACCCTTTCCTCATGTACCTTTAATCTGTGTTATTTTTGTAGAGTGATTGATCAACTTTCATACCCACGTAGGAAAAAACATAAAATTGTAGTTTTGTATATTTTAATCTCTAAATCACTGATCACCTTTGTGGAGATCAGCAATCTGGCTTCCTATTTTGGAGTTGCCAGACTTGACCTGGAGACAAGTTAGCCTGACTGAAGAATTTCATGGCTTAACAAGAGCCTGGGAAGCTCAATCATTAAGGTGACTTGATTACATACTGGACAATCAGTGGCTCAAGTTTCCGTTTCCAGCAGATTCAGAGATTGTTCTCCTCTCCACAGCATCCAGACCCACCTTGAGGCCCATCCAGCCTCCTGTCCGATGAATATCCTGGCATCTTTCTCGAAGGTAAAGTGGTTGGAGCATCAAGCTGACCACTTGCCTCTATCTGTTGCCAGAGTTAAGAATGAACTATACTTCTGCATATGTACTTATGTTGTGGTGCTTAATTAAGCCCAGGGACAGCAATACCTTGCCTAAGCCCCTACAGGCAAAGGCCAGGATAATATCCACCTCCTTCCAAATCCTTGCCTATGCATTATCACTAATTTATCCTGTCACTAGACACTGTTTTTTGTGTTGTTTTATGACGTTGGTATCGAGATTATATAGCGCTGAACTGCACATTGACAGATGACTGATGAATTGGAAGCAGCCATGAGCTGCAGCATTCTTCACCAGTGAGTCTACCTTCAGCGTTGCATAGTCTGAGATACAGATGGCACTGAAAAATTAACCACAGACTGGTAGGTGGTTACCAGTGTTTCCCAGGAATACATTAAAATATGCTGAGTTATAGAGGAGTATCCTGAAGATGGAGGCAGTGTGTTCCTCTGAAAGAGTTGGTACCCACCTACCAGAATACACGGTGGCATAACCTGGAAGATCACAATATGTATTTTCACCACTGTGAAAACCTCAAAAAATGTATATTACTCATAATGAACTAACTGCATGGAGCCGAGCCCTTCATGAGAAGCTAATTGTTGCTCAGCTACTCAAGAAGTTCCCTGCCTTTTATGAAACCTGAAAGTTCATTAATGTGTTCATATATAATTCATTCACTATTATAATTCTTACAATTGATTTATTGTATTCAGTACATTAATTTAATATTACTTTCAGTCACGCCTCCTAATTAGATACACATGAATTAACGTAATTTAAATCATGTTTAGAACACTAATGCCCTTGATGTACGTACGTCACGTGACTTAACAATCATGCATGTTCAAAATGTTTTGTGATAGAATGACTATTGTTGCCTGTATTATTGTTAATCTAGAAATATAGATTCAATTGTAAATGGTGTGTAAATAACTTCCTATAATATATACTTTATTTTTTCTCTTTTTAAAATGACACATTATAAATATTAACATGCTCACTCTGCATCCTTGCATATGGCTGCATTCTCTGTGTATTTCCATTCATTGCTATGTAATCCTGTGATCCCCGCCATGTCATATAATAAAATAATTTAAATATATGCTTAACAATGGAGTAAATTTTATGCCTTAAAATATACTAAATACTGTAATATAACACAGGCACCTGCATGCTACCTCTGTAGTATAAAAATTCAGATAGCTTTATTTTTACTTTCTTTATAAAATTATATTAATTTTAAACTGAATTCTAATTTTTAATATATATGATTCGTTAAAGCAGAGTTTCTCAACCTTTTTCAACTCACCCCAACCTAACAATGCACAACAAATTGCCAGGGCACATCAACTCTTTAAGGAGAGATTTTATCATTAAAAATGAGCAATAATATTGTTTAAAAGTTCAATTGCAAAAATTCTAATCAGTTTTATTTTTAAATATAATGTTGGTCATAGATTTTGATTATTTTTTTAATTCCTTAATTTTTTCTCGCTTCTTTTTGACCTTCCTCCAAACTCCTGTGGCACACCAGTTGAAAAATCGCTGCATTATGGGGTAAACCTTCCCAATTCCTTGGTGTGCCCTATTGTGAAAACATTATAAATTCTCCACAAAATAGCTGTGTGTACCGCAGTTTTAATATATCTTTTTACTCGTATATTGCTCTGTTTTCGAGCAACTTCATGGGGTACTGATAAACTGTGGAACACTGACACATGTAATTTTGCAGCGAATTTATAGTATCGCACCAAGAAATAAGGTACATCATGAGACTGGGTAGAGTTATCCTGTCATGAGGACCTATTTCTTTCCTGATATAATTTCTTGTTATATTTCAACAGTTACACTAATTTAATATAAAGTAAATTTAAAGTGCAATTCTGGACATTGTTGAAAGCCCCTGTCAGGTTGTACAATGTCGGCAGAACCTAGATAGCTTTGCAGCCTCTTCATTTTCAGATAGCAATAGAATATTGCTGTACTGTCATGAAAAAATCGCAGAATGTTTCATGGGCCGCAGCTAAACTTTCTGAAATCAAAAATAGTAAATCTTGTTTACTAATTTGACAGAATTGTACAAAATTATTTTTAATAATTCTTAGAGTGGGTCACAACCAAAAGTTACATATGCAGCAGCTGAAATTGTTCCTGTCATTCTTTTTCTTGTGTTGACTCATGAAAGGAAAGCACACAGTGGGGCTCATTGGCTGTGCCATAGCTAAGCCAGTCAGGCACTGGCTTCTCACCACGAGGCCTCGGTTCAGTTCAGTTCCTGGTGACTGCATGTGAGATTCGTGGTGGATGAAATGTCAGTGGAGCAGATGTGTTTCTTGAGTTTATTTGTGTTTCCCCTGCTAATCATCATTCCATCATTGCTCCATACTCTTCTATCAGCGCCATTTGGTATGTGTGTTAGCCCTGATCAGGCAGCACATTATCACATCCTCGGTCTTTAGGTTTGGGGCTCCATCTCTGCACCTGGCACTTCGCTGGTTACAGATCAAGGAATAATTCATGTCAGTAAAACGTCCACCACCGCTTCCTTTAGATAGGTTAAAGAATACTGTTAATAAATATATGGCCGACATATGAACATAGACTTACGACTTGTCAGAACGGAAGTGGGTCGTAAGTTGATGACCAAGTGTATAGCAGATGGTATATTCAGTTACCACTGTGCTTCAGATGACTAATACAGCACTTGCGTTCGATATGGATTGTACTGTATAGAGAATAAGTGACTTCTTTACGTGTAAATGTTAATTCGAATTTGAAATAATTTTACAGTGATGCCATAATATGAAACGTAACTGGAAGTTACAGGATGTTAATATAAGGCTATCCATGAATGCATCGACTATGAAGAAAGCAGTATTCTGGGATTTGGCACCGTGTATATGTGGTGTTAACCGACGTTTCGGAGGAACGTATCGTGAATGCCTCAAATCTTACATAATGCAGCGACTGTTTGTTTTATTTACATATTTAAAGGCTGATTTGCTATGAATAAGACAAGAGATGATATATGTGGACCGTAAGGCTGGGCTATGGTGTAAAAATCTCTTCGTCTTACTTCTGAAACAGCGGTTACCAGTTTCCTTGGTGTGCCCTCGCCCTAAAGATTTCAATTTAACCCCATAAGCTGAACTCTGAATATGTTAGGAAGATGGCCCTCAACTACCACGGATCACTACCTCCGTCGTCCCCATTCTACCCAACGTAATTAGCAATATTTCCCATCGTTACGAGTAAAAACTGTTGCGAGGATTAAACCGACCATCCATTTTGGAGTTGGACATGTTTTCAAGTGGGCGGATACGATATCTCGTATGAAGCTTGGTGTATGGTAACCTATGAGAAACAAGCTTGGAAATTCTGATAAAAATTCATATCTGACTATTCTTTATAGATGTTATCCTTATCAGTACGACAGGTACTATTAATTAATTACGTAATGTACTGCAGTCATACATTCTTTATAACCTTACGTGATAAATGTACTTCCTCCTGGTTTGATAGGTTAGGACAGTATTTGATATGAGATTGAATTTTAGGAGTGAAATTTCATCCATTTGTGAATTTAACAGACATTTCATAGCAGGGAGTTTTAATTATGAACTGTAAGTGGAACTAACCGTAATAGAGTGCAACATATTGTTAGACTGTGAGTGAGTAATTTGTAATAAATCTCACTGATTCTTCTACTTCGCAACTATATCGCAGGATCTTGCGCGTATTAAAAGTGGTGTACTTCCACAGGACATGCACTTCCAAGGTTATTGCTAAATGTTCATGTTCATGTTCATTTATTTCAAATTCAAGCAGATCCAGATGCAGGTTGAAAAGTATATTCACAAACCATTTGTAATGATTATTGTTTATACTACACATAACCTTAAGTAGTAGGGCACCTAATCATTCTCCTTTCAATGAACTTTCAGATTAGTAGAAAGCTTCAAGATGGTGTCATTGTTCCATCAGATGTTTGTACAGCTTGCCTGTACCAGGCTGAAAAGTTGAAGAAATTAAATATCTTTGTCAGATTGACAAAGGAAGTGGCAGAGCATCAAGCCAAAGAGTCGGATGTCAGGTATACAAATGGTAATAAATGCGTCATACATGACTGAATTTATAATGTATAATACGCCCATGTCTTCATGGGGGGACCTAATGATGTGATTTATCCAAAGGTAACGTCAGGAGTTTGTTAGATGGCATTCCAGTGGCAGTGAAGGACAATTACTGTACACGCAATATTGAGACTACATGTAGCTCACGGATGCTGGAAAGCTTTAAACCTCCATACAATGCAACAGTTGTCCAAAAACTGCAGGATGCAGGTGCAGTTCTTCTTGGGAAATGTAACATGGATGAATTTGCAATGGGGTAAGTAATATTAGAGACATCTTAATGAAAAATCATGTGATCACTACTTTTTAGAACTACAGCATATAGCAGATAAGTACCAAACACTGCAAATGTTATCCTACTATCAACAGAATACGTATAATAATGATAATTGAGAATAGTTTTGAAAAAAAGAGATGTTTATTTTGAGGTTCATGTAAAGCAGGTATATAATCGAGAATTTGCTTGCTTGACATACTCTTCTACCCTAAAGATGGACCACGTTTATTCCTCTGAAATGCTTGTGACTTCTACCAGAGTAGACAGCATCACATCCCAGAAGACAGTACTATTCTGTTTCTTCATCTGCACTCACCAAGCAAGTTGCCTCAAGCAGTAAGGCATCTGACTTGTGCTTGGGAGGTGCCCAGTTTGAGACTCAGGTGGCACAGTATCTTCACTGGGGATTTCAGGCAGATAGCTAAATAGTATATCAGGTCACAACCACTTACTTCCATATTCTTTCCAATTTGTTATTCACACCTCTTACCATTCTGCACTGTATAGGCTGAGCTGCTGACAGCATCATTGACTACACCACAAAAAATAAAAATTATATAAAAAATAGACGATAGATGTTATACTGGGCTTCAAACTTATTTCATATATGTGTAATTAGACATTCAGTTCATTTGTTTATCAACAAAATGTCTGTTATTACAGGTCAGGCACTGTGGATTCAATTCATGGTCCAACTAAGAATATTTGGCAATCAGGAGAAAAATATACGTTATTAAGAAATGTCGGAGAAAGGGCAACATCCGTAGAGCAAGTTCAGGGATGTAATTCCACCCATGGTTCTAAGATGGTGTACCAGGAACTTCATCACCTTTCTTCGCACAGCAATAAAGAAGGAAGTAGCAGCCCCTCAGAAGAAGGTGACTGGTTCATCGCTGGCGGAAGTTCTGGAGGCAGTGCTGTCGCAGTAGCTTCAGGCGCTGTGTTTGCGTGAGTGATGCATATTTGAGAGAAACAGGGTATATTAATGTGGTAACATGTGCCTTAACACAATGAGAACTGCTCAAGCAATGAAGCAAGCCACTCTTGTCATCATAACATGTGTTCTGACATGGTCTTATAAGTGTTATGTTAGCACAGAAGTGTGAGAGTTGACCTGAATCAACCTGAATTCAACTTAATTCTAAGATGGGAGGGTAGAAAGTAAGCATATAAGATGAAATTACTGTAGAGCTGTGAGAAATGTGCACTCTTTACACAGGATATTATTTTACTTTAATATCAGACTATAGTTGTAGATGAACTCTAATAACCAAATGTAACCTAACCTAAACATAAAATATTGTCATGTGTATTAGTGACTGTAGACAGGGTTTGGGTTAGTGAATAGATTATTGACCACTTACACGTCATAACTACAAATAACTATAACACTATCTTTGATTTCCACACCACAAATTACTCTACACAGTCTTCTGAGTCTACTTTAAGTAGTGTTAACTTGGTAACAGCTCTCCACAATGGCTATTACCCTGCAATGTTTTCACTAGACGTTTCCCGGTAACAAATCTTAGTGATGGAAATTCTTCAGCTTCCGTTGCCTGCTGGTTAACACTCCACAAGTGCACCCTCAACTGTACTGTATCACTCGCTCAACGGAACATGTTCGGTCGAGTCATATAGTTTTGGAGTGGACCCACAGAGGATGCCACCTGCATCACCTCTTCTAGTGTTGCGTGATGTCACCACACACGAAATGTTACAGGCGCTACATAGCAACAGCTGTATACATCACATATCATGACACCTCCTTTCTTGTTGCATACGGGCATTTCTCTGCCTCCAAAGTCCTTGCTTTGAGCATATAAGCTGCAGCATAATACATGTCATACACAGTGATGTCTTGCTCTGTTCACATTAAGGGGTAAGGAAACTGGAAACATTCCACTTCTCAGCTGCGCTATATACACCAATGATTATATGGATGGGAGGTTAACAGTATGAAATTTCACTTTGTTACCATGTTGAGGTACTGGAAACTGTTAAATTGCTTCAGGTGTGTTCATAACTAAACTAATGGTTGTGAGAGGTCAGAGCTGGTAATGCAGATCATGGAAAGGGAGGGGACAGCCACAAGTAAGCATGCTGGCTGCTGAGCTGGTGATGAGGCTGCACTGAGTGCAACATCTTAGCTTACTGATAAGTACTGCAGGTCACCTTCTCACTACAGAAGGAGCATGCTGCAGAAACTGTGTCCATGTCATGAAATTCTGTAACTCAAACTTTGTTTCCATGTTATGTGGAAAACTTCTTACAGAATTTGCTTCCATCAACAATTGTAATGCACATGCACTTCGGTAACCATCAGAAATGACGTCGAGTACTTGGACATTTTAACCAGAATAACCCTGTACACTCTAAGATGGAAGTGGCAGCTACACTGCAAAACATCCCCTTACAAGTGTGTGCATCTCTGACCCAAATTTCTTCATAAATAATCATTTATTAAGAGAAATTATTTTTGACTGAATTTGTTGGTGTTTTTGCATTTTGTATGTTAAAAAATCTTTTGATATCTTTCCAAAATGTCTGTAAGGGTAAATTTGTAGTCCATGTCTTGAGTTCTAAGTTTATGTTTTTATAGTATCCATAACAGAAAAAGTCCATAACTTGAATGTCTGAATTGGGAGAACACATTTGACTGTATTGTTACTTGTATAGTGCATTTGTATGTCAGGGCCCTTGGTTCGGATACTGGAGGTTCAACAAGGAACCCAGCTGCATATTGTGGTGTCGTGGGTTTGAAACCGAGCTATGGTCTGCTCTCTCGCCATGGTCTCATACCGCTAGTCAATTCCATGGACGTTCCAGGAATCCTGACAAGGACAGTGGATGATGCTGCTACGCTACTAAGTATGTGTGAGAGGGAATTATAAGAACTTAAAATGCTTACTCTCCTTTGATTGATTCTATGATAAATCTCCCAAAGAAATAAAATAAAGCATATATGAATTTGTAAATTAATTTTATGCAAAATATTTGGTTGTATAAATTTCAGTACTTGAAACTTGCTGAACAGAACAAAAGATATATATTGTTATCTTATGGGTTACGATTCCATGAAGATGGAACCAGTATTTTCCTCTGAAATGTTGGTATCCCACTAGTGGACTACACGTTGTAACCCTCAGGACCAAAATATGAATTGCCATTACCATGAAAAATTTGAATTTCATATTGTGTCTGTTCACAATGAATTAGTGTTTGTGCCACAGGATCACAGATCATAATATTACCGGCTTTTTGGTCTGCATCTGTCGCTGATATTCAGAATGCAACACAGTGCTTTGGCAGCTGGATCTGTTTCTGTCTGGTGAAGAGGCAGGGAGGCACCTACTCAGCTGGGTCCAGTACAGAAAGCTAATGTGCCTCTCCAACCGAGGACAGAAACGGATCCAGTTTCCAGAATGTCATGTTTTGGAATAGGAGATGATGGTCCAAGCGCAGAAACCAAGTAAATCTAAGTGTAATATACCACCTTCAGAACCCTTCACATATTGTTTGTATTTGATAAACTTCTGTCAGATATTCTCGCCGGCCACGATCTGCTGGACTCGACTACAGTGCAAGACAGTTTCATTCCATTGGATCTGAGTCAAGATATAGACATCAGTAGGATAAGAATTGGAATACCGAAGGAGTATAACTGTCCAGGGATGTCTGATGAAGTGATGGAGACATGGAGTGGGGTTGCAGATATTCTGGAGAGAGCAGGAGCAGAAGTAGTGCAGGTAGAGAAGGAACACAGTCATGGGCAAGTGTAACATGCATTTCACACTGGCAGTTGCTCATATATGCATTATGTTCGGTTCCACTTGGTATTTGGCCGGCTTCATTTAATGTCCATATTTTCTTTCTCTGTGCAAAAGGATTTCAGTTCTGATGTCTCTGGATCTGATTATGTATTAGGGAACCTTGTAGGTTTTGCATTGCACACAGTCCGGCTGGCTGAGTGTAAATATGTGAACTGGTTGCCAGACACTGCACTCTGGCGATAGCAATGTAATGTTTCGGCTTCTTCTAGGTTTCCATGCCACACACCCCATCATCAATAGCATGTTACTCTGTGCTGAATCAGTGCGAAGTTGCGAGTAATATGGCACGGTATGACGGAATTGAATTTGGACTGCGCACAGCAGAGAACAGGTCCACAGAGGAGCTGTATGCATCAACACGCAGTCAGGGATTCAATGAAACAGTTCGAGGTCGCATCCTAGCAGGAAACTACTTCTTGCTACAAAGGTAATACAGTAATATACCATTCTGCTGATAGTAATTTTTCTGCCCCTTTTACACTTCTTTTTACGTTAAAAGAAGGGTATGACAATTATTTCATTTTCATCTTGCTGTAACAAAAGAAATGGTTAAGAGAATATAGAAGATAAATAATAGAATGTGTTGATGTGGACATGATCTAAGACTGAATGCGGAGAGAATGTCAGTGCAGGTTTCTAGCGTGGTGTATGTGTACCTTTCCACATGTATGCACATGTGTTTAATATCCCCATTTAAGGTCACAGAACCGAGGGACTCAGCCTCACCCCACTACAGGAAAAAACTAAAAAGGCATCTCAAGTAATCTTAATTTTGCAGTTCAGGTTATCATGTGGGGGGGGGGCATGCTATGTTGCTTTCAGTGTCTAGGCCATATAGCATTGAAATCTAGGGTGATAAGTAAATAATGAACCAAAGATGATTCAGAAGGAAGCAGTTATGGCATAATTGAAACATTATTCTGGCATTTCCCTGGAAAGACTGAGGAAACCCATGAAATATATCAGCATAGTCAATGTCCTGGACAAGATTTGAACTGAGCACCTGTCGAATACAAGCGTGGAACATTACCGCTAGACTATCATGTTTGTTTATGAAATGGAAAATGTATTCTTTTATCTTGATCTTTGCAGAAACTACCCTCATTATTTTTTGCAAGCTTTGAAGGTACGTCGACTGATTGCCCAAGACTTCACTCATGCTTGGTCATCAGGTATTGATGTTCTGTTGACACCCACAACACTGACGGACGCTCCCCGGTATTCCCAGTTTATATCACGGGACAACAGAGAACAGTGTGCATCACAGGATTACTGTACACAGCCCGCAAATATGGCAGGTAACAACTGAGAAGGTCTGACAGGATTACGGTCTTCTGGACTATGTCACAATATAGTTTTATAGACAGATATCATCAAGAAAGTCATTACATCAACACCCCACATTCTGTATGCATTTCAGGATGTCCTGCAGTTACCCTGCCCATCAAACTCTCTAAACAAGGACTGCCACTCAGCTTGCAACTTATGGGCCAGAGTTACAGGGAAGATGTGTTGCTGGCAGTTGCAAAATGGATTGAGACTGCAGTTGATTTCCCGCGTCTGCAGTTAGAGACATAAGACTCTTTCCCTCATGTGTTTATGTGTGTGTATCGTAAGTAAATTATAATTAACATGAAGTTTTCTTAATAAATTCCTCTTCATTATATCAAAGTAGTCAGGCTTTGAATTGCACTCAGAAAAGGATCAGAAGAGGTGGGCATTAAACAGATCTTGTGCCAGGACTGATTTTAATTTATTGTTTCTTAACCCTTCAGTCCATACCTCACAGGAAACACACTCCGTCTCCATAACAGCACCCAACTGGTTAATGCTGTTTAGGGAAATAATCACTGGTTATTGTGAGAATCGCACGGAACACATAAATATACTGAGTGGGCAGAATGCAGAGTTGTAACATTAATGTACGTGGTACATATACTAACCACCATGCTTGAAAGGGACAATACACATTAAATCTCCATTCTTTTCCTTTCTGAAGCTCCCCCAGTTGTGTTTTAGACTTGCATTTGCAAGGCAGAGAAACAAAAAGATGTCGTAATGCTTTCTTCTCAGTGTATGCCAGTTGAGCTCATACAGTGTCAATTTCATGCCCGCAGAACAACCTGAGAGGCACAGCCTGTAACTGCGGTTGAATTAAATCTGTACTACACTTCCATTGTTGTCTGGAATATGTACAGGTATCGTCCATTTAATGTTCCATGATTTAAGGTTTTCCCTCATTTTATGTTAAATTTTAGGGATTCCAAGCCAGTGGCTACAATATCGAGTTCACTCCATCTAGGATTTCCCTCAGTTCAGCGTTCACATCCACTGATCCCGAATGAAACCTTAAATGAAGGTGTCACTGTAACTTCCCTAATGTATCCATGCTGTCAGGTCAGCAGCTGCATGCTTAATTGTGCTTCCCCCTTTGCCGTGACCTTCAGCTGTCAGTTCAGTTACAAACATGGCTGATGCAAGTCAATGCAATTCCATGCATTTCAAACACAGTGAAGTCCTGAGGTTTCACAGTTCTGACAGTATGTCTACTTTGGTGCTGAAGAAAGTTCTTCCCTCTGTCACCTGTTCATTCACTCTGCCCTTCATAAATGGCCCTTTAAAGGGCCAAAAAAATTTGCAGTGTTCTTACTCCAATTGGCTTTCCCAGGGTCCTGCATTGATCTTCCCCTCCATATCTGTACCATTCGTTGCACACTGATTATTCTTCTACCCTGAAGGTGGAGGGTGCACATTCCTCTGAAATGCTGTTAATGACCTACCAGACTACATGGTGTCATGGTGTGATATCCCAGAAGAGAAATGATATTCATAGCCACTCCTGAGAGAACCTCAGATCTTTTAATATAACTCTAAATTTTAAAATATCCATTGTTGCTCGAGTACTTTGCCAAAGTAAATCTTATTTGCTACAGTTCAGACTCTTTCCCTGGCAAGTTAAAATCCAAGTTAAGAATTTTCCTAAGTAAAAAGTAAAGTAAGGCACAGTAGATCACTGTGGTTGCAGTGGAAGGGCCAAGAAGGCCCACCCCTTATACATTCATTCATTCATTCAAGTAAAGTAAAGCCATCACTGTAACAGGCCTTGGAAGCCCATAGTGTTGTGAGATGTTGAGGTTCCCAAATTTTCTAGACAGTCAGCTCATAGATGGCCGTAAGGTTGTCAGCCCTATGCGCCAGTCGCCCATTACCCCCAAGAATATTCTAAGAATATTCCTGGTACTCATTTCTGTTAGAGATTGAGTCGCCCACAGCGCCATACTGCGGCTGGAAGGATTAGGTCAATTGAAAACATCCAATGACCTCAGGATATTCCTAATGCCTCTACAAATCTGACCACCAAGAAGACAACAAAATGTGGCTGGGAAATGCCTGCACATACACAAAGGGAATATGATATTGCATTACAGCCCTTTATTCACCATAGCTTCATACAATTTAAAAATACTGCAGTGATATAAATTAAAACAAAAGTATTTACAAAGAGAACTTTTTGTCTTTATTTTAAACTCTTAAGTGATGCGGTGGCCATTCTTGCAGCAGTTCCAGCAATAACTATCCATACTGTAATGCTTATTCCTCCAGCTGTATCTGTGGGCCAGCTGATGATGCTGCCGAAAGGAAGAAGCCATTTTTCAGGTACGACTATCACTGGAGTGTACTTGTAGTTCCATATCAGAAATAGCATTAACAGTCCCTGGAATAGAAATTGTGATTTGTTACTTTAACCGTACATAAACATAGTAACTAACAATTGGCAGATAAAGGTTAATCTATGGTTTCATGTTGCAGCTTGCCCTAAGCAGGTTGCTGAGCTCTCAATAATTATTTAAAATACAGTGCAGTTTTCAAAGTTAGCAAGAAGATAGGTGCTTTTGGAAGATGTAGCTGCACCCAATGAAACATTTTATTAAATTTTCACTGACTGGAAGAAATATGAGTAGTGTAAATTTATTTATTATTTTAGGGGATTGCTGATTTGCACAATTTACAATCACTCCACACTCATCTTCTCAGTCTATTTCCACTAGTCTTCGCTATCAATTTCCTGGCAACGGACTTATAGCACAAGAACTGTAAAAGCCTCAGTAAATTACACACTCCCAATTCCAGTTAGCTCTTTCTAATGGACTCAACAGTGTCTTCCTACCCTCATCTGACGATGGAAACAGATTCAGTCTGAAAACCCAGTAATTCTGAGTTCAGATCTAATGTTTGAAAATATAACTAGGCAATTAATGTCATACAACATGGCTTACAGTACATACCATGAGTACCTGTGCCCCGTACGTGATTACGAGATTCAGCTTCACATTTTGTGACAATCTTGCGTTTACTGGAGAAAAAAGACAAGCATTTTATAAAATCAGTCTCTACTCACATTCAGAAGAAAATTGCATTATGTAATTTAAAAATAAAGTTACCCCTAGACTGTAATTCTTCTTGTACTTTATTCAGTCTGCGCTGAAGTCTGGCATGTTTAGCAAATTCATCTATCGCTGAAGTGCAGCTCATTTCTCTCTGAATGGCCAAAATCTCATTTTGTAATACTGACTCCTGTTTCGATTTCATACATAGGAGTGACAGTACCTGAAATGTTGAACACAAAATGATCATTACTTTATGCGGTAGATTTCTATATCTGAACTGGTCTGGATGTAGACTTGCCCTGAAGTACAGTGCTTGTTGTGTAACAACCCCATTTAATTCACTCTGCAGTTGATATATCAAGCTAATCACTAGGTGGACACTCTTATCGCTGTTAAACTAGGCAATGCTGGCACAGTTCTGACACTCTGGATTCATAATGGGAGGTGTTTGGTTTAAAGCTCACTGAGGACACTCGCTATCCTGGCTGGTTTTTCATGGCTTCTCTCAGTCCTTACAGCCTAGTGCCGGGATAGTTCCTTCCAATTCATCAGTTACCTCACCATTCAGTGCTATATAGTCCAGCACCATAAAACAGCCCATCAAAAATAATTACCTTATTCTGAGCCTAACCCATATAAATGGCATATGAGGAGTGAACTTAACCAAGAAAGTGGTGGATTTAATGCTCCAGCCAAAGTATGTAGCGGATGGGTGTAGGAGAAACATTCTTACGACTTCAGTCTCAAAAATAGCAGTTCAAATCTTGGACAGGTTACCAACCATTTTAGATTTTACGTAGTCTGTCATGGTAAATAGCAGGAGAGATCTTCAACTAGGCTTAAATTCTCTACAGTTGAACCACATTGTTAAATTGCATTATAATTCAAAGAGCCAGGTGCTTACAACCAGACATACAAAAACACATGAAAAGTTAACATACCACATGAAACTACTAACACCATTGTGGCATATTTATTATTATTTACTATACCAGACTCCACGGACTTTTATAAATAATAATAATAAAATGAATGAATGAAATGATCAGTTTACATCAGTCATGGCCTACTGTCATGATTTATGTAACATCAAGGGAAATAACTTCAAAATTAATTTCTGAAAAAACTAACCCATAAAAAAATGAAACAGAAATTGGCACTTTTAGGCACACTGGAGATAAAAATTAAAAATATAAACCGCCATTTTTCCGCGCTTTAATGCCGTTTTCTTCCCGCCTAACCTAATTTTAGAGTATAATCTTTACAGGTGCTTACAGGTTTAATGATTATGGGTATAAATGCTCCAAAAAAGCTAAGAGCAGTCGTTAATATTAAGAGAAACATAATAACACCACAAAAATCACGAAAATGTTCTCAGGTGGATAATTCCTGTATGTTCTGTCACACGGCTTCCCCTAGGAGCCCCAGAACGCCCTGAAACACGTTCCTTCTTACTCGGTATTGTTATGTCCGTATCGTAGCTACAGTAAATACATGATGGAAATGATCGAAATGGCGATGTGTCATCCGTTTCTACTAATTACATAGCTACACGATCAACGAGGCGGTGAATTTCATTCATAGAACTCGGTAGCAGAAAATGGCGTATGTGAATGTAGCAGAATGGAAACCAGAGCAAGTTACTGAATGGCTAAAAGGTAACATAGTTTTTTCATATCAGTTACAGTGAATATGTGATATTTGTCGCTGAGTATTTCTTCGTGCAAGGTATATTATATTGTAATTATAGCTTATTATTTGGAATGTAAAATCGTGGTTTCCTGTCACACCCTAATCCGGGATAAAATTGACTTGACAGGTAATTAAATGTTGAGGTAATGAGGCCTAGAAGCATAAAAATCAATGCTAACAGCAAATAGGCCGAAATACACAGGCGAAACTTTCATTGTAATGCAATATACTATATTTCAAAATTTCTCTTTAGCCTATTTTTACACTTTTGTTTAGTTTTTCATAGACGTGTTATAATTTAGAAAGAGATTGGCTGTTATATTACGAAACTCTTTTGCCTTCCTAGTCTGTAAACGTTCCTGTTTTGTCTCCTTCACCCACATAATCGTGTAATTATCTGCCAGATCACATGACATCACAGTCTTTATATTGACCACCATTGGAAACTCAGATCATACACACTGTGTATGTTCTTCCGATTTCAGACTTTTCCTTCTGCTGCTTATCTCTGTTATTGCCAGTTAATTCATGACCTCTGCTGCCATCACCGTTACTGTTGCTGTTATTCATTATGTTCTCGGTTTGATGGGATGGTTATTTCTGTGAGCAAGGGAAATACGTAGTGCTTGGATGAATAGACTGTTATTACTGCAATCAAGGGCTCCATTTTGTGTACTCAGTCCAATCATAATATCCAGTTTTGAAAAATATGCTATATACTGTTAGATTTGAGGTGCTCAGAATGGTGACTGTGAAGAATATGGTGCTGTGTGCTGTAACATCGTGTAATCTGGTGGGAGTTCACCGGCGTACCAGAGGAACATATCTGCTGCCCCTATCTACAGAGTTGGGGAGTAAACCAAACTGAGTTCAGCTTTCCAGCCCCTTCTGCTTGTTTCCTGCTTGAGTTACTCCCCTTACCCTGATGTTGGAGATGATATAAAACCTGAAATCCTACAAACTCCCTGTGCATAGCTAATCACCGAACCATTAAGATGTGTGGGGGAAATGAGATGTGGCTCCATGCATTCTGAACCTCAGCACCAGATGGGGTGAGTGGTGAGCTTCATGCCTTGACTGTTTTCCTCCCAACAGAAGAGAAGAGGTGGCCAAGAGCTCTCCTGGCATGGTGGACAAGAGAAGAATCTATTGTCTCTGCTGGGAATTGAACCCCAGTTCCCCAAAGTACATCAATAAATCCGCCAAATACTTCAGTTCTTGTTTTGGCCTAGTTGCCTGTTCTGAACTTTGTAATGTCCCACTTCCTCTGAACACCTGAAGATCACATTTATTTCCTTCCAGGCTTTACGGTTAAGATCTGCACTTATCACACCACTTGTGTACATAAACTGCACAGAGATGAAGAGCTTCTATTGTGCCACAGTAAAATTTGTCTTCGTTTCTTTGCTTATGTGCAGGTTTAGACAATGCGATTCTTCTGTACGTACATTCATTTCTAAATAATGAAGTTAACGGCCAGCAGCTTCTGAACCTTCGCCCGGACGATCTTGATCACTTGGGTGTCCACAAATTAGGGCATCAGGAATTAATATTGGAAGCCGTTGAACATCTGAGGAACTTTGTGAGTACAGACTTAACATTAATCCAATTAAGTTACTTTCTCCAAATTTTGGTAACTTTCTACCAGACTTCACGTCATCACATCTCAGAAGACAGTTATGTTTGTATTTACCGCTGTGAGAATCACCAATTACATAAATCATGGAATCTCTATTTATGTAATTATGTCTGTTCCAGCACTATGAACTAGATCGAGAAAACCTTCAACTGCTAGCCCTGAGATTATCTTGCCGAGCACACAGTCTGCACAATGAACTCCGACAGGAAACTGACTCACGGCCTGTCAGTACACAAACATTAGCAGATGTTGCAACTGTTATAACAGCTGTGAAACCTCTTGTCTGCTGGCTAGACAGGTGAAGTGTTACCAGTTTTACTAATACAACAGGTGCTGGATGCACCTTACAGTATGTACTGTCCTTTAACCATCTGTGCTGACTTTTATTTACAAGACAAATTGTATTTTGCTTGTATACTTGACGCTAGTTTAGTTTACTGGAATCAGAAGCCACAGGTAAAGTAAAGTAAAGTAAGGTAAAGCTATCCCTGTAACAGGCCTTGGAAGCCCATAGGGTTGTGAGATGCTGAGGTTCCCACATTTTCTAGACAATTGGCTCATAGATGGTGGTAACGTCAGCGTTACGCACCGGCCGCTCTTTACCCTCAAGAATATTCCTGGTACTCATTTCTGTTAGTGGCTGAGTCAACCCCAGGGCCATAGTGCAGCTGGAAGGATTAGGTAAATTGAAAAAAATCCAAGGACCTCATCAGGATTCGATCCCGCGACCTTCCGGTTTGTAGCATAGTGCCTCAAACCAACTCTGCTACCGCGTGCCCCAGGTATGTCAGAAAATAGCAAGGGAGCCTATTTTTGCTGGTAGTGTTAATAAACGTCATTAGGTTTGAAAGTTATTAGAAGTAGAGATACAGCTATGGAAACATCATAAACCTACCTTACTTTAGGAAGACAAGTAGATTAAGAATTAATAATTGTACCATGAAGATATTATGAAAAACAAATGTTTTATCTGGTGTTAGGTCGCCTTTCACTGGACAACTCGATTATCAGGACAGAAAGACCGAGCTCTTGAAACTAAGTTTGGCAATAGCAACATGTGCGCAGAGAGATCGCTTTGCAGAGCGTCCAGTGGAAGAGATCCGGAGCAGTTGCAAAGAGCTTGCTCGAATGGCCGACAGTATTATCCAGGATATAGTGGATCCATTGATACTGCAGCCAGCATCATTGGATCTTGCAACGCTGAAGAAACGAGCAGGAGATGATTTGGTTAGTAGCACTGGTGTTGACTTTTCCAGTGTTACCAAGTTCTGCGGACTTCATCTGTTGTCTCGTATTCTGAACGAAACTTTTCAGAAACTGGATGTATTTCCATTCTGAGGTGAAAAATTGGGGACATGCTTAGAGAGAGATACAGATCCAGTTTCAAAAATGTTAACATTCTGTTCTGAATACCAGACGATGGATAAATTGCGTGAACAGGTTTGTGAAACTCCCAGTACAATATTCCATAAGCTGTGGCCATGCCAAGTGAGTCGAGTCCAGTCCAGTTAAGTCAAGGTTCTCACAGAGATGCTGTGGTGTGGTTAACATGGCACACAGTGTGACTGAGTTAGATGGGTGAATGAGATGCAATTTGACTCGCATGGACTTGATGCAATTCATTTGCCAGAAGCTGTCACGCTGATGATGACATCTGTGTTCAGTAACCATCATCTTCTTTACCTTACATATGTGAAGCCACTGTGGAAGCATCATTTGGTCTGCTTACATATCATTTTCTCTTTTATTCTAGGGTTTTTTCATTTTACCATCTTTCCAAGGTCTGCACCAAATTAGTGAGATAAAGTTTAGCTCGCCTGCACACCAGTGTGGGAAAATTGAGGAAGGAGATGAAGTGGTGCAGGTTAACTACCAGACCGTGGTAAGTGGGTCTGACTTGGTTTGGCTGTTTTGTGTGATTATCTAGTTCAGTGTAGAGGCCACCTTGTTACCTCCATAATAGGCAGTGTTGAGGAAAGTACTCTCCTGTTGCGTAATGCAGCAATAGAGATACATAAGGCATATCACGGACACATACACAGCTCAATAACTTACAGGCACTCCCAACATTGACACTAATAATGGAGACAGAGCAGGTCTAGAAAAATTAGGTTGTCACCTGGATCCTGACATGGCCAATTTGACCAAAACTTCAGTATAGTTCATTTTCTCCTGTCTGTAATAATTACCTTCTTAATTATGCAATTTTTTGGAATCCGTAATTACTTAACTCTTTGACTGGCGCGAAGGGTATTTAAATCCCACCCCTGTCCTGGTAGGCCCTTTAAACCTTATGTCGCTAAAATGCATGTAGTTACTTTTTCCTAAACAACTTCAACAAAAATTGGTTTTTAAAAACGAAATTTTCAGGAACTAATTAAAATACAATATTTTATGCAATAAATGCCTTTCCATACCTCTTTATTAGTTTTTCTTCCTGTGATAAACATTGAAACATGAAAGTTTGCAGAGAGCCACACCACAGCCTGCACACATGATACTTGTTTCTTTTCTAATCTTGTGCTTAGCACTCACGCGACACTTTCTCAGGGCACCATTCTTCTTGTTACTGGGAGGAACATGGACCATTTTGTGAATTTTCAAGCCACCCTCTAGACGATTTACTGGCTCTTTCACTGGTGGTTTTTTCAAGGTCGAGGGCGGAGGCGTGACTGCACTCGAGTCTGACGCAATAGATTCGTCATCCACTTCATTCCTTGACTCTTCTCCCTCTCCACCCTCTTTGTTTGGTTCAGTCATTTTTCTACACAGTCCAATAAAAAATCTTTGAATCTGTAATTTCTCTTCTTGTATTTTTCGTTTGTTGTGTTCTTTTTGAATAGAATGAAACTATTCAACCGCAAAGACATGTTTTGTCCATACCATGGGTGTGAAATAGGAGCCTAGTGGACAAATATTCTTCAATTTCAGGGCGTTTGTCGATTCCTGTCATGAACACAATTCCTAAGTATGTCCAGATTTCATCTGATGTGACATAATTGTAATTGTGTTTTCGAGAGTGAGGAGCTAACTCATGTGTGTTGAAGTGCTGGTGAGCATATCAATTGGTTTCAGTTGTGATGTGATTTACCAAGTCGTCATCCAGGAAAAATTTTAATCCATGAAAAGGGATGCATTTTATGTGTTATATCAATTTTGGTCCCGAAACTATTAGCAAATGGAAATATTGGGGGTACAATGTCTCCGTACGTTCATGAGATGGGCGCGTCAGGCACTGCACTCGTGGTAGGTAAATGTTCATGATTACTGTCTTGTGGATCATTGTCTATCACTGTATTATTGTCACTATCAACTTCATCCAATTCAGGAATCATTAATTCATCGCCACTATCATCATCAGAACAAATCTCGTTAACAGCATTTTCCAGCTGGTCTGTAGGAACACGAAGACACTTGCTGCAAGAAGCCATGGTGAAACTGAATGAATGTGATATATTTTCTGACCTTTTCCTTCTCAGAGGGTTGTGACAGTAATATAGACCCCCACAAAGTTTACAAGGGTTCTTTACAAACATGCACAAAAACAAAACATATATATGTCTTTGGTTGATGAGTGCCAAGAGAGCAAAGAAGGGAAGAGATTGTGAAAGCATTAAAACACGCCAACGCCAGGGAACAGCTGGCATCGTCCGGGCGTTAAAACACGCCCACGCCAGTCAAAGAGTTAAGAAGTTACTAGTTGCCAGCTAATCAAATTCCCTACCTCATGTGGAACACAAAGGTTCGTCACTGTGTTCACAAGAGTCTGCCATTGGTCCCCTTGAGCCAGATAAATATAAACACCTTCCCATCCTACATTTTAAGATTCATTTTAATATCCCATTTTTGCCTAGCATCTTCCACGTGGTCTCATCCTCTTGGATCTTCTGTCCAAGTTCCATTTACTTGTCCTATCTCTCCCATGCATGCTACATGCCTTGCCTGTATCATGTTTCATGTCATCAAGCTAACAGTATTTAGTGAAGGGTAAAAATTGTGGATCTCCTTGTTACGCAGCTTTCTCCAGCGTGCTGTTAGTTTCTGCCTCAGCACCCATCCTATTCTCAAACACCTACAATCTTCTTTCTTCCCTTAATATCAGAGGCCAAGTTCAAACCATGTATTTTTTTCATTATTCTTCCCTGTCTGAAAAGTGAAAACTGTACATGTGAGGGCTGGCACTTCCCTTTACAGGTGGGTTGGCAAACAAAAAGGGTCATGGCTCTATTTGAGGAGTCTCCCACTGACGTTTTCCTGACACTGAAAAAACGCCCACGTCACACCAAAGTCTATGGTCAGATCTACATGAAACCGTACAGATTGCCCAGTAAGAAGAGAGCGGCCCCGTACTCTCGATGGCACGACAATCTTCCATCGCCCAGGCCTGAATTGCTTACCATTCCTGACTTTGAGATGCCCCTGCCAAGGTAAAATGGTTCTTGCACTTTTGTAGTAGTGACGGGATATGCACCAGTTGATTCAGCCAAGCAGAATGCGCACTACATTACTGGAGGCTCCAATGTTACAAAGAACAAACAATCAGATTGGGCAACAAATAGCGTTTTGTTATATCAGCAGATTAAAGCAGAAATATTGCACATACACTAGACCAGTTTTGCTTTAATGTGTGCCCATGATTGCTGAATGTTGCTACCTGTAGTCTACATACATGTTGCTGCTGCTGCAAGTTTCTGTACAGAAATGTGTAAATCATACTTTCGGTGACCTGTTTAACTTGGGAACATTACTGTCTTCTGGTATCTGATGCAGCACTGTGTGGTAGAGTTTTATCGATGTTTCAGGAGAACTTGCTGCATCCATCTTCAGAGATTTCATTCCTTTCTGCCTCTCACCTAGTCGTTTTCTGCACCTCCTCCCACCATGGCCTTTCCGTTCAGTTTGATTTTTATATTGTTATAGTGACTTTGTTTTATTTTATGGTAACATTTTAATTTTGTTTTTATCGTTTCTTTCGACTCTGCCATCTTCACTGTTAATTTTTAGTATTGTTTTACTTTGTTATATGAGTATTACCTTTTATTTTCTTTAATGTATTGTCTGTTTACTTTCTTCACTTCTTTCACATATTACCCTTTTCAGTGCCATGGGCTCACACCGTAACGTAGTTGGTTGAGGCACTATGCTACAAGCTGGAAGGTTGCGGGTTTAAGCCCCTTTGAGGTCATTGGGTTTTTTCAATTGACCTAATCCTTCCAGCCGCACTGCCGCACTATGGCCCTGGGGTTGACTCAGCTTCTAAGAGAAATGAGTTCCAGGAATATTCTTGGGGGTAAAGGGCAGCCGGCACGTAGGGCTGACAACCTTGCCACCATCTGTGAGCCGATTGTCTAGAGAAAATGTGGGAATCTCAACATCTCATAACCCTGTGGGCCTCCACAGCCTGTTAACAGGGATACCTTTACTGTACTTTAGGGCTTCCATTCAGTTTACAGCGCTCTCATTGGTTGGCTTTGTGCTGCCTTCCATATAACACTGACCATTTCTTCCCATGTGGCTTACTCTTGTACACTGAAGGTGGAAGCACTAGGTGTCTCAGAAATGTTAATAAATATATACCAAATTACACAGGAGGCAGCAATCCCTATGATTAACAAACACACGGAGAACCCCAAATTCCACCCTATGAACACTGTGTTGCAACTAGTCACAGTAACACTGCTACTGTTTCCATTCGCAGAGCCTTGCCCAAGCAGACATTGCCACAGCCAGAGTTGGGGTGTGAACCCCTTGCTAGTAACTCCAGTTCAGATGATGATGATGATTCATTCCTACCTGGCGCACAAGATGAGGGGCAGACATCCCCAACTAGCATGAGGCTGTATCTGCCAAAGCCACGTGTCACAGTTCAGCGCAGAGCAACAGTTACAGGCGCTAGCCCAACCAACAAACGGCCGCCCGTCAATATTGAACAGGTAGCCAGATATACCCCATTTTGCACATACTAGAACGTTTGATTCTGAATCATACTTGGATGTTACCTGTCATGCTTACCACATCAAGATAAAGTGCACGTGGAACATAGAAATTATCTTGTCTCGTATTTCTTTATGTCTGACTATGTAATGTTGAATGGTGAATAATGAATTGGCAAGAGTGTGGAAGGAGGTGGATGTAGCAAAATTTGAGGCAGTACCCTGGAATTTTCCTGGAGAGACTGAGGCAAATGACAAGAAACTGCAGGATAGCTGGTTGCATGGCAGAAATTCGAATCAGCCGTCTCAGTGCTTAAAAAGACCCTAATCAGCCTAGTCACTGCCATGGGAACTGCACATCTCACAGTTTGTGCCTACAGTGCAACCCCCTTGTACTGTTCCTCAGTTTAATGTTTTCCCTCTTGTAACTTTCTGTATCAGTGACTCAAAAGACAGTAATCTTTTTGACAAATTTCCTGTGATCACCATTAAAATCACCTTTACATGAGCAATTTCACTGTAGACCACAGTATACTAATTGAACCTGTTGCTTTCCACCTCGGCTTCCTGGGTTCGATCCCGGGTCTGGTCAAGTGGGATTTGTGGTGGACAAAGTGGCACTGGGGAAGGTTTTCTCTGAGTACTTCAGTTTCCCCTGCCAATCTTCATTCCACCAATTGCTCCACAATCACCCTCATCTGTCATCTGGGGCTAGTACAATAGGCCAGAAGTGGCTGCAGTACAAGGGACTTAGTCCCACCCCACTAGCAATAAAAAAAAGAAAGTGCACCTGTCCATAAAATTCAACCTTGGTTTCAGTTTTGGCGTGAACTGCGCCTGGAGCGACAGTGGAAAGATGGTGGCCCTTTTGCTGGCGGAGAATTGGAGGGGAGGAAGGATGAACTTTATCAGTTACGAGATAAGTCCGCAAGTTTCGGAAACGATTTATCAGTTTCGCCCCCTACAAGGCCAACGACTTGTTTGGGTATCGAGAACTCCTGTAACAGACTGAAGACAGGGAAGACGTTAAGAATAACAGAGAGTCGTGATGACATGCACGCAGTTGAAGATTGTGAGGAAACCCCACACAATAGCATGGAAAGCATGAAAGAAAATATTGTTTACGGGAAAGAGACATCTGAAAGAGAGGAAGATTGTAGAGAAACCGGAAATGAGGTTCAGAAGAAAAGACTGTCAAACCAGAATCAAGAGAATGTGCATTTCGAAGGGCGGAATGACAATGAGGATAATGACACTTCACAACGTGGCATCAGTGTTTTGTGTGTAAGCAATAATGGAGTTAATTCCATACCTAAGAATGAAGAAAGTGAAAGACAAGGGGATGAGCATAGTGAGAGGTGGGATGAAGAAACAGGAAGAACAGGGTATGGTAACAAAGCCTGTGCAAAACAGGGGTCACAAGAAAACGATGGTCCTGAAAGTTCTAGCCGAGAGATATTGCCACACAAACCATACTCTGATGATACAAGTGACAGGAGGGACCAGCACCTTACTCAAGATAATGTAAAGTGCGACGCCAGAACTGGAGACAGTATTTTGAGAGTTAAAGGCGGAGGTTATGGTTTGCCTAGTGACGATTTGACTGATGTGTTCGATGGTGTAGAAGAGATTGACAAGGTTCACAGACATAAGAATTCTGTTACTTCTATCGAAAGCACAGTTTTGGTTCAGAGAGAACGTGGGCGGTTGGATAAGAGCTACAGTACTCCAGCATATGACCTTACAGATTGTGATCAAGTACAGGACAGGTCTGGTAAGATATACCTCGTGGAAGACTGGACAAATTGTCATGTGCCAGAAAACAGCTGTTCCCTTCTGAGTCCTGCGTCTGAAATTTCCCCACATTCAGTCTTCCAAGTAGAGAAAGAGATTCACGCAGTATCAAAGAGTGAAGCATCGTTGAAGACTGCCAGTAAGAGAAATAGTGAATCTTCAGATGCCAGTATTCAGGATGGTGATTCATTTGGCCTGGAAGATAAACAGACTCAAAGAATTGGTGAAATACTGGAGACAATAAATGTTGCTTTGCTTCAGCATCGGCTTAAAGAACACAATAACGACAATAAAGCGAGTAATTCAAATAATGCTGCCGAACATACAGATTTGTTGTCTCACAGGACTGATGATGTACCATTAGGCAAAGAGGACAGTGAAACTGATGCACGGCTGTATGTTCCTAGTAACGAATGTATAGGCTCACAGCATGTTGCATGTTCTGCATTGCTTCAAGAGAAAAGCAATAAAGACTCTGAGGTTTTGTCGGAGAGCAACGTAGCAGACTCACATCAAGACCAAGACCTGCCACATTCGGCACCGGATCTTAGTACAGCTCAGAGAGAATCAGAGGTTTGGCAGAAGATGACTGTGCCAGAAGTAAGTGTTAAACATCCACACACTGACGAAAAGCAAGAGTCGGTGGTCCTCGTTTCCCAGACAGGTGTCTCACACATAACGATTTGTGTCACCCCACCTGAACCACCCCCTAGACCTGATCATGCCAAAGGGGGCGGGAGCATGGGCTATCGAGCAATTATGGCAGCCCGGTCACTCGGCAGGAACACCGGTAACAAGAGTTTGGTTGGTGGGGGACACGCAACGTTCCCCAGTCCTCGGAGTTTGAGGAAGAGGAACCCGTTGCTCACCAGTAAGTTGTAGAAAGTATTCTGAAGATCCAGTGTTGGATGTAAGTACAGTGGATTTCAGATTTCATATTGTTGAAAATGACTAGCAGATCCTGCACATTATAATTCCATGCATAAATAATTATGTTTATGAGATTAATACATTTTTATGTATTCATTGTGATGTCCCCCAAGAACTTGGGTGCTCTCCCCATGTTCTGTCAGTGAAACATTGCATGCAGAACAACACTTTCCAGTACACTCATTCCCTGACTAACGTAAAAAAATTTAAAAATTTCATGTAAGGTGTAATGTAAGTCATACATGATTAATGTAATATAATGAAATGGAGAAATGATGCAGAAGTCATGTTAAATTGAAAAACAGCCCTGTTAGCTGAAAAGTAGCCCTGTTTAAAAACCATCTTAAACCCAGTTTGTGTTGGTAGAACTCATGTTAATTGGTGGCTGGGTGTATGCCATGAGATGTGTAATCTTATTGTAGAATATTTGGAATTTTCTACTATGATGTTAGTCCACCAGGAGTATACATAGAAACATGGATATCCACACTGTGTGCTTCTGATTTCTGTACATTGAGACCTTTGTCATCTGGGAGCAGACACTTTCAAATCTCTCAGTATGGGGGTGGCAACCAGATTATATTCAGATACCGAAGCCATCAGCACAACAACAGAGTAAATTACATTTTGATAAAAATGTATTAAAATCAATAAAAAAAACTGGTTTTGAACTTGGGATGATAGTATTAATTGAAGAATTCACTGCCAGACAGCTGGACCATGCATATACTCTAGCGCCGTCATGCAAATGCACGATAAAGGTGAAATGGTCACAAGAGACAACTGAAGACCACTCATATTCTTTACAGAAAAGCGCAACGTAAGTGTCCGAGATTTGGGGGTTGGAGACCGTGAGGGGTGGTTGCTTCATCGGTGTCGGTCTGGAGGGGCTGGAGCTGTGTGGCTGAGGGCATGGTTTGTTCTCAAGAGTACAATATTCTATGGCTTCAAGACACCACAGTCTACAAAGGCAGACATAATGATCTCCCTTCCAGGCTTCACAGCTTCGTTAGCAGACGAAGTAAAGTCCAGAAAGTTTGCTTTCAAGGTGTATCATACAGGTAGGAGCAAGTTGTAGTTGCGTTCTGTTGTGGATCTGGAGTGGCAGATGGAATGTCCATTATATACTTTTCATTTGATTGCAGGAACAGCATTCTACTTTGCTGTTGAGTCCGAGGACGAGCTGCCTCTCTGGATGGAAAGCATAACACTGGCTACTTTGAAGCAGGACTTTTCCGAAACAGGACAAGAATCTGAAGGTGCTGTGTTTCTCTCTTGCTGTCAGTGTCTCTTTCTCAAGGCTGTTGTTAGTAAATATTGTCTAGGATTTGCTAGCCAAGTGTTTTATTTGTGTGTTAGATTCCAACTTGTAACCAATAAGATTTGAGGCTTTCACGGCGGTGACTATGAAGAAAGCAGTCTTCTGGGATTTGGCACCGTGTATATGTGGTGTTAACCGACATTTCGGAGGAACGTATCGCCTCCATCTTCAGGGTAGAAGGAAAAATATAAGAAATCTGCAAGCGAAGAGACCGTGAGAACCGGACTGTGTATATTTCCAACACAAGTCTGCTTTTACCGGTTCTCACAGTCTCTTCACTTGTGGATTTCTTATATTTTTCCTTCTACCCTGAAGATGGAGGTGATACATTCCTCCAAAACGTCGGTTAACACTACATATACACGGTGCCAGATCCCGTAAGACTGCTTTCTTCATTGTAACTAATATCCCAAAACAGGCACTTCATTAACAGGTAGGTTGATTGAATGTCCTGATCAAAATTTGAAGTAACCTTCGTACTAGTCAAAGTTGTAAGTCATGGGACTTGTTTCTGTGGTTCCATTAAGTGACCCTATGGTTGGCATCTTTATGTCCTGATATAGTAAGATTATTTTTTAAGATTACTGTCTCCTGGGATTTGATGACATATAGTTTGGTAGATGGGTGCCAGTGCTTTGGAAGAAAATGCTGCTTCCAAACCAGAGGATGTTCTTAGACCTGGCTCTTCTCAGGGGAAAACACATTGAGTTTGGTTGAGCCTGCTAACAGATAACAATTGTATAGAGTGTGTTTGGGTTATAGCAGGGCTTCAGTTACAGTGCATCACCCTCCCACAAGGTAGCTGCAGCCACTGTCCAGCCACTTCATGCTGTTCTCCTCATGCACAAGCCAGAGCCTAGGTCTGGAAACGTGATCTATACACAGCGTCACATTAATGGTCACTGCTATTACAGACTCAGATCTGAAAATGTGATTTATGCTTCCATGTTGATTCTCACTGTGTGTTTGTTGCAGCTGTGTTTTTCAGTGAAACAGATGAAGAACCAGAAAGTGATATGGATACAGAGACATGTTTCCCAAGCCCCAAGATGAGTAAATTTGTTGGTTTCCTGAGCAGCAACAATTCACAACAACATGAAAAGCAGTCTTTCAGATCTCATCAGAACTTGGCAACAGAATCTAAAAGGTTATATTAGCTTCTGCTGTTTTTATGCTTTCAAAAGAACAGGTTCCTATCATTAAAATTCTGTTACTTTGTGGCACACACTAAATTTTCTGTCACCTGATTGGATAACAGGCATGAGGTTTGAATATAGTCAGTGGTTTCAGTTCTCTGTATTCTTCTCGATTTATACAGCAAACCTGTAGGCTAAAATACAGAATTATCTGGGATTATTGTTGTCCATGCATCTCGTTACTGTGGTTCAGCAGATGTACAGTGTATTTTGCCATTCATCACATTTTCTGAGTACTAATACTGTTATCTGAAACTGAAGTATGAGGGCCGTTCTATAATAGTTGGAAATTTAAAATCCATATTCCTAGACAACTTACTCATGGATCTGAGCCCTTGTTGAGGAGCATTTAATGGAACCTGAAGGTTCATTACCATGTTCACAAGAGCCCTCCACTGGTCATATCCTGAGCCAGATCAATCAAATCCATACCATCCCATTCTGTGTCTCTTTAAGATCCATTTTAATATTGTCCACCAACCTACGCCTTTGTCTTCCCGGTGGTCTCTTTCCTTCTGGCTTTCCCACCAATATCCTATGTGCATTCCTCGTCTCCCCCGTTCGTGCTACATGCCCTGACCACATCATCCTCTTTGACTTGATCATTCTAATTACACTTGGAGAAGAGTACAAGTTATGAAGCTCCTCATTATGCACTTTTCTCCAACCTCCTGTCACTTCATCCCTCTTCGGTCCAAATATTCTCCTCAGCACCCTGTTTATTCCTAGACAACAGTGGTTCATAATTAATACTAATATAATAATCTTTTAGAATTCTGTGGGAAGTCTGTACACTCGCTACATGAACTTCCATGTCTTTATTTATCACCACTCTTCTCCAGCAGCCTTCCAGATCCTTTACTTTATCCATATCATCATTCCTCTCTGTTCTCTTCCCTCCCCCTCTTTTAAGTTGAAACATTTTTGTAAATATAATTTACGCTTGCTTCAACCATATTTTGTCAGAATCATATTTTGGTGCAGTACTTTCTCTTGTATTATGGGAATTGTTCCAGTAAAAGCCTGGAACTTCTCACTGTACTAACATAAATTACTCATTAAATGATTGAATGCGGTTCATATATTTCCCATGTTACAGTTTTGGTTTATAGGATGTAAAATGACAGGTGTGGATCTCTGTTGCTGACATTTTATTCTAACTCACTGTTTCAGTCAAGAGTCACAAAAAAAATTTGGTTCGCTTCGGAAGCTTGGTCGAAAAACAAACGAGCAGAACTCATCGTCGTCAAACCAGGAAACGTCTGGAACAGTGACAGTGGGTTCAAGTCTAGATAGAAAGTATTTACGATTTCTTGGGGGTAGGAACAATATAGTTCCTGTTCCGACTTCACAGTTCCGCAGTTATCGGAGGGTTCCAAATGGACCTGCCCCCACTCCACAGAGTAAAGCAGTACGAGTTGGACAGAAGGAACAAAATATCTCAAGAGGGGGAGGGTGTGAACAGGAGATTGATAACTTAAAGACATCTGCTCAAGATCCATCAGTTAATATGCCACTACAGCAGAAGTCACCAGCAGCATCAGAAACAGCGCCATCAAGTGCCAATAATGCATCAGCTCTAAACTCATCGTCACAGAAGGAGAGTCACATTTCACATGACACGAGACCACTGTTAAATAGTTTGAATGAAATGGGCCCAGCAGTATCACAAGAAATGAGTATAGGTGTCAGAGGCGAAAGAATGTTCAAGCCACAAGATAGAGTGCTTCCTCTTCCAGTTAAGAGACATCTGAAGGTTGATTTCCGAGATCGTCAGATTCACTCGTCAAATCCATCTTTGCAGTTTCCGTCAGATATGGCCGATTATCGGCTAGCAGCTGAAAGACTCAGACAGTTTGGAATCCGCAGAAACGAGCAGAGAGAGGACACGTCTGGATTTGTTACACTGAAGCAGTTTATGTTGTCAAGACAAGAGGAAGAGAGGAGGCAGTGCAGGAGAGCCGTGCAGAGACCAGTGGGGAGCAGTGAAGGTGTGTTCACAAAGCCATACTCTTAATCTCTAGTACACGCACACTTCAGACATCAAGGGCAGAACTGGAAGACTAAAGTGAGTTAATAAATAAAGATCAGACGATTACAGGGAGCCAAGATGGCTCTTGATAGAGTGACTAGGTTAGAGGCTAGACAGCCGAGGAATTAGGGTTCAATTCCCAGTACAGGAAACAGACTTTTCTCTTATGCACACTGTCCAGACTGGCTCTAGTGCCCACCCAGCCTCCTTTTGGATGGGTACTGGGGCCTTTGTTACTGTGGATAAGGCGGCTGGAGCGTGAAGCTGACCCCCCCCCCCATGCATGGAGCTGTACATCTGCTTCCCATATGTCTTTGTGCTGTGGTGCTAAGTTAAGCACAGGGACAACTTTCCTTTCCATAGACAGTCAGAGGATGCCCTGTAGTTATGACATGATTGCGTTCCAGAAGTGTGTCTGTGAAGCCTAAGTTCAGCACTTGATTTCAGATAGGCAAATATCCTGAATAGTGGTTTAGGTTCCAGCCCACAGTGGCCCGTGTAACCCATAACTTAAGCAAAAATGTAGCGCTTGCGGAGTGAATAGCGTAAGGTAGAAACAATGTACACACAGCAGAGCAGTTCTTGACGTTCATTTCCTTTTATTTATTTTCTAACTTTGAGCAAGAACTTACCTATGTCACCCAATTTGCAATACAACCAATGATTTATATACATGTAAATATATCATTGCAAAAAATCATAATATTGCAAGGATATACAAAAACGAGGATAATGTAGCGTATTACAGTTAGAGGTGTCAGGTCAATGCATACCTGGGATTGTGGATTCATATTGTAACATATTTCATTACTGAATACGCCATAGAGATTGTTAATTGGTTTATTTAACAACCTACAAATCTCGGCTACAATTAATTATAACAAAGTTGCAGGGTTTCACACATTATAACCCTAGTCACAATATTCAATTCACTCTATTGTCAGTAGTCTACATGTTTCACAGTACGGAAGCTATACAAGTGTCACTGTATCCCACACTCCCAATTATTACCCTGTTATCACGAACTAGCACTTATTCTCACTCACGCATCAATAACTCGTAACTGCTGCCTTGAGAACTGTCTTCGTTCGCTGATACACTTTTACTGTCTTCGGTGGCTGTGTAGTTCCCTTATAAACCCTCGTTCCAGATAACACAGAAAACAGCCACGTGATAGGCACCACTGTTGTCTGGCGCCGTGTTGCTAGCAACGCTGATGGGAGTTGTTTACGGGTACGTAGCAATTGCGGCGTTGCGTGTTACGTCACAGTAGGGAGCGGTGCCACGCTGCCCAGGTGGGGAGGCTACGTCACCGTGGTCAGAGCTGCCACGTTACTGCTGGGGGAGGGAGGGGTTGTCTATTGTGCAACATGTCACAATATTGTGGTTTTCTGGGTTGCCACACCATGCGGTCAGGACCGTGCTTCTTCAGACAGTGTCTTAATTCAGAGGGTCATCATACAAATCTTCACCTCTGTGTGGACTTCAGATCTTTTATATATAGGGCTGGAAATTGGAGTAGATGGTATTTACTTAATTCCAGAATGCGTCACATTAGGGAAGGTATTTCCATTGCCTCAAGACAGTCTCCTGTGCACCTGCCTAGTTCTGACAAGCCACCTCCATCTCTACATATGCATATGAATGCAATGCTTAACAGGGACAACTTTTCTCAGTATACACAGGGTACACAGAAGATCCCCTTTGCACGACCGAAGCTGCTGGACCTTCTCGGAACAATTCCTGGTCTTCCAGCAAGACGAGACATGGAGGCCCAGCAGCGGGCCCATCTGTGGCCAGACAGGGAAGTTTCAATGGCTCCAAAATCCGCAGAAACAACAGCAGTGACTTAACACAAGAGAGTCAGGGTAGACAATACAGGTAATGTACTAACAGACAAATTTCTGTGGTAAAATGGTTAGCACTTTATTTATTGCAGTATTTTCATCTTTTACTCACAAAGAAAGAAATTTTTTGAAGCTCACAGTCATTTAAAAAAAAAAAAACAGATGTAGGGCAGATGAGATGGTACATTAGTCTAGCATTGAGAACCTTCAATTCTATGACAAGAGTGTATGCTTTGAAAGTGATGTTATTTGTTTTTATTATCTATTTTGTTGTATTTGTAGGAACTTTGTCACTATATGCCATTATGTTCGTTTTAGGGGGGGCTCACCAGAGAAACTTTGGATCAATTCATTGCGTCGGAATGATATGACCAGAAAACCATCTGAGGGCTCCTGCAAAAACTCTACGCCCGATCATGGCTTGTGGAATCCAAGCTCTCTGAAAAGAGCAGCACAGTATCAGCCTCCACCAGTGTCGCAGAGCATGGCAAGTTCAAGAAATGTTCACACCAGTGAAGAAGCTCCACGCATGAAATTTGCCTTTGAGATGCACCTTGGTAACAACAGGAGTCCAACAAGTTCCGACAAGGAAAAGGATTCTCCGCCATCAAAATCTTCCAAATTCCGAAACCTGTTTTCCTCAAAGCAATCTCATCACCAAAAACAAAACTTTTTGGAACTTTCTGGCTCTCATAATTCTCACAGAAATCAACACAAAGCAATACTTGGGTCCCCACGACTACACAGAGCCATCTTCAGGGATAAGAAAAACCATGGCACCAAAAGTAGCAGTACAAGTGACTCAAGTAGCAGTTCAGTAAATTCACCAACATCAGCTGTTCTGTGTGACTGGTCAACAGGAGATTATGGCAGTCAGACCAATCCCAATATGGCCCAGTTCAAGGTAAGAAACAGTACACTTGACCACAAATTTGTGATTTTAAAGCAAAGATTTCAAAAAGTAAAAATCTCTTATTGTGACATTAGATTGATGGTTACGGTGAAATTAGACGTCTGACAAATGTATATATTGACTGGGCAAGATTCACAATAATCAGAAGCACCCAGAACCCAAAATTTGTGGAGCGGACTAACAAAATATTATGTGGAAAATCGTCCACTAACTTGATGGTCTCGTGTTTGATTCATGGTAGGACACAAGCATTTTTCCTTTCACCACATCCAGAATTGCCCTGAGTCCCAATTTTCATCCATTGCTAACCAGAGGATATGGAAAAAGATGGCCATAGTGTGAAGCTAACTGCCAAATGATGAATGTATGGAGATTTGCTCCTACTGTCGAGATGCATTAACCTTTTCCCATCAAGCTTCACTACAATTAGCTGCAAATTATAAAAGGTAAAAAGGTAAAGTTGTCCCTGTGCTTAACTAATGAAACACTATGCAATGAAGGCATATGGGGGAGTGGATGTATAGATCCACATTTTCTTGTCCTCTGCACTAGTTGGAGGTGAGTGGTCAGTTTCATGCCCCAGCCACTTTACCCCTGGAGAAAGAGCTCCCGGCTGCCCATTGGATAGGAGGTTTGGGGGACCTCAGAGACAGTCTGGATGACATGGAGAAGAGAAAATTCTTGACCTTACGGGGACGTGAACTCTGACCCCTCATTCATCCAGCCCATAGCCAGTCACTATACCGACTGAGCTATCCCAGCTCATAGCTACAAATTGTTGTGTGTGAAAATTAAGAAAGGACTACTTCAATATGGGAAAACATGAAACTTTTCCCATTAAGACAAAAACTTGATCTCTCGACAGTCCTGATGTGGCTGTAAGTTCACTGGTGGTGGTGACAGAAGGTTTCTGACAGTGAACCTGTATGCTGGAAGCTTTGTGACAGAGAATAAGGGTTAATGGCATCGTGCTTAGACACAAGGATAACTTTACTCTTACCTAAGCTAATGTAAACCTTTCACAAGAGTGAATATCAGAAATTCCTGTATATTTTGCGCAAGTGTGTACTAACGACTATGCACAGTCTCCAGTTACCTGTCACCACTGTAGCATTTCTATCAAACAGTATTAATTTTTGTAGAGTTGTCTCTGTCTCATGTGTTAATGACCTTTATTATTGTTGTTATTGTGTTCTATTTTCAGCCAACAATGGGAATTTCGATGCTTGGCAAAAAACCAAGCCGTCACATTCTGTCTTCTTCCCCCTGCCCGGCTAGCTCTCCTCCCGATTATCCTGGATTAGAGTACCCACCAGTTTTTGAACCTGAAACATACACTCTCTCTGATGCAAGTAGCCTGTTACGATCTCGACAGCAATCGCACGCAAATAGCAAACAACACACTACGCAGTCTCACAACAGCACTACTCAAAATTGAGTTTCACACTATTGAAGTAATTGGTTTGTTTTATTTTGATCATAGCATATATTTCTCTGACACTGCTTTGAGTAGAAAAATATCTCTTGCCCCTGCTGGAAATCGAACCATGATTCTGTGCTTTTCCAGCCCATAGCTTAGTCACTATATTGAATGAGCTATTGCAGCTCCTACACATGTTTGTTAAGTGATGAAAGGTGTCACATTGTAGTTACACATTGACTTGATCTTCCATCAGGTGCCAGAGTGTGTATCAGTGGTGAATATAATATTTCACATGGTAAAACATCTTTTAAAGCACAACTTTCAAACTTCTGTACAAACTTAATTAACAGTTTAATGTACATATTAATGGTAAATATCATCCATTTAATTTAAAACATTTTTATTTGAGAATGGTGGTTGATTCGTATGATAGGAGGTTGCATGGAACACTTCCTGTTACTTTCATACGCTGCATCACTTTCATGATTACAGTCTCGTGGGATCTGACACTTGCAGTTTTGTAGGCAGGTACCAGAGTTTCTTAGTTAGTGATGCTGTTGGTATTTAGACTATACAGTGTCAGTCTTAAAGAGGAAATAGTAGACTACATTGTGTCATAGCTCAGAAGACCACAAAATGATATTATGCATTTGCTACAGGTTACATGTCACACTGCTTCCTTCCATGTTGGTGCTTTGAGCTGTCTGCAGTTTGCTAGATGGATGATGTTTTCTATTTTAACCCTTTTAAGCATGTAAATCATCTAAATAACATCTAAAAATTAAATTCATATGTCACAGAAGAAACAGTATCACAATTACAAAGTCAAATCACTTGATGTTATTAAGGGGGAAAATTGCTGTTTATTCTGAGAATTATATGAAACAGATGAACATACTGTGAAAAAGACTTTCTTAATGTTAAAGCATGTGGTATATGTGGTTACCACTGTCCTTTAAAGGGTGTACAGTGTGTTGTAAGTGTTGAGTTCACTTTATAAACAAGAGATACTGTTTACCATTCAATTAGACGAGACCTTGCTCACAAACATAGAATTGGAAAGGACTGAAGAGAAAATGGTTATGGTGCATTTCAAGGTATCAGATGGCCAGTCAAGACCTGAACCAGATACCTCCAGTATATGGTATATCTGTACCATGTTCGCGGATGATGTGACTTAAAATCTGTTCCTCGTGGCAACTTTCAATGGAGTTATATGTTGAGTGTCCAGTGAAAATATTCATATTATCGCCTTGTTGGGTATGACGCCATGTAATCTGGTAGGTTGATACTAATGTTTCTGAAGACCATACTACCCTGAAGATGGAGGCGGTATGTTCCTCCAAAACACGTGTACTCACTCACCTACCAGATTACATGGTATCTGTTTTGTTCATTTGTAGTTTATGTATTATTATTATAATTATTATTGGAGGGGGTGGGTTTCCCCATGCACCGCAACTAATAGTCTATTGTATGTTCCCCTTTGATATTCTACCAGTCACTATACCTTACCGGTACTGGTGCATGCTATCAGCCCCGTTCAGCCAATGAGGTCGGCCCTCGGTACCCGATATTTCCCCCATCTACCAGAGGCAGTGGAAACTACTTGGGCGGTAAACTTGCCTAATTTTGCTCAAAGGTCTCCTAGAGACATGAGGATCTTTTACGTGCCGTAAATCTACGATGTAATTGTAACAATTCTGTCAGTAACACAGACTATATGGCAATATGCGAATGGATGAATTGGAAAGGATGTGGAAGGAAGTGGCCATTGCCTGACTTAAAGTACACTCCCACATTTTCATGGATGGACAGAGGAGAACCATCAGCACTCTCAGGATAACGGGTGTCCTGACTGGGATTTAAGTTGGGAATCTCACAGATTAAAGTCAGAAGGATTTCTGCTGGAGCCAGCTTACTGGGTTACACAGTGTAAATCATCAGATCTTACCTGGGTGTGGTTTAGTTTGCATTGAATTGCTTCTGTTGTTGGATGATGATGATGATGATGATGATGATAACGATGATGAAAGAGCAGGTGAAGTTGTTCTCTTGCTTAAGCATGAAAAAGCTATAGAAATTGTAGTATGCAGGTTCCACACGATCAGAATTTTACTGTTTGTGAGTTTTGTAGACAGTGCTCCTGTGAGACATTGCTCCTATGGGTTAGCCCAACTTTATGGCAAGTGGCCAATGTTTCTACCTGAATCTGTGTTTCCACAAAACCCGCAGTAGTAGGACCATCCTTTCATACTGGAACATAGTTTTCCTGTTGCCAGTATGCTCCAAAGTACCATGCTCACAAGTCCGGACAACTGTCAGTGTGGCTAGGCTACAGGTTGGACAACTGAGGAACTGGGATTCAATGCCCAGCAGGGACGAGATTTTTCTCTTCCCTATGGTATGCAGCATGGCTCTGGGCCCACTCTCCCGCCCATCCAGCAGGTGACAGAGCTCAGTTCCCATGGGTAAAGCAGCAGAGGCGTGAAGCTGTTCACTCACCTGCACCTAGTACTGAGCTTAAGATGTGAGGAGCTATACCTCCACTCCCCCATGTCTTCATGGCGTGGTGCTTAATTAAGCATCCTCTTTATATTGGGACTCTTCCTTCTATATTGTATTGGACACTGTCAATAATAAAATATTGCTAGAAGTTAAAACTTGTATGTAAGTAGTTTTGTGTTAGTGATAGATTCTCTCTCATTACACTGAAACTGTTGAATATCTTCGTCAGCAAGCTAAAACAATACCAGATGCTCACAAATTTTTACACCATGAAAATACCCACATACTTTTACCCTGCATGTTTTGGAGACCAGAATTAGAGAAAATTGCACTAATAAATAAATATATTTGCATTTAAGCATGAAATTAATATATTAAAAGTGGCTCAAATTGCATCAAGTGTATGAACTTAACATAATTGCAATCTGTGATAATATAATTACATTGCATCTTGTTTCTTTCTTGTTTGTTGAGGCTGCAGATGTTAGTTTATTCTGAGAACAGCAGATGTTATGTTGTTAAGTTCTGTGAAGTTCGTGTCAGAAATGTCAGATGCTACCAACTTTTTTGACAGTGAAAACGAATTCCCTGTACAAAATACAAACCTAATACTCATAGGTAATATATCTTTGTTATCCTTATATATTTACTGTAAATATTGCATGATATACTAGGAGTATCATTATACATATTTTATTTTTGCATGTGTATATAATGTACATTAACACTGCTTTCCTTTCTTCATTTTGCTTATTTTATTTGCAGAATATTGCATGCTGTAATATTGATAACCCTACTACTGCATGTAACTGTGGGCTTTTGGAATATTCCCTCCTACAACCATCCTCAAGTGATGACCATCGGCCAAATTTGGAACAAGACACTTCAGTGGGCTCTCAGTAAGCACGTTGTTAAGAAATAAGGATTGCCATTTGTTGTTAATACATCAAGCTTATTTGAAGAGCTTTCCAAAAATTATTCAGCCAGTCCAGTGGTAGAGAGATGTGCTTCTGACATCAACACTTTTCCCATGTCTTCAGATCCACATTAGTCACCAAACCCAGCAGGTCCTGGGAGTAGTCCCTGTCGTTATGCGTTCCTTGCAACATCATAAAACATTCACATTCACACATTGAAGTTCCTGTTTGGAAATGGAGAAAGCCCGAAACTAAACCCCAGTCTCTGTGCGGGATGTGTAAGGGATTTTCAAGGGGAATGTTCAGCTTAGTGCTGATTTCTCCCAGTTTCTCTTCAGTGAGCATTCAGTCATTCACTTCTCTTTTGCCCATTATTCACCCAGTTTGTATATGAAACTGCCATCATCCTGAAATTTATGCTGGAATTTTTCTCCTAACTCTTCATATGGCCGGTGTGTGTGAGCACTTGTTTGAATGTGTAACTTTCATATGCCACTGTGATTCAGGACACAGTGTGACTGAGGCTTGGGATTGTGGTCAGCAGACACATAAGCTCACTTTACAGCCTGTTTTGAAGATTTACTGGGGCAATACGGAAGAGAAATTGTAATCTATGGTAGGCTCTTGACCCCAAATGCTTGGAGTGTGAGTTGATGTGAGCAGCATGTCCCTCTTCTCGGACTGGCCAAAGAATATGTGGCAGGCTCAGGTATTCACCCTGTAGTTATCCAAGTGACACATTTGTTATTGTACTGCTTAACTGGTTATGTCAATAAAATTGTATTATAATTTTAATTTGTTATTAAGGGTTCACTCATTTTTCTTTTCAGGATTCTACAGTTTTCCACTTGTGCCTTATGACCTAACCGCCATCTTTATCCTGTTTCTCTTTGCCGATTCCACTTTATGTGAGTGACCTAATATGTATAGAGGATTCTGTATATCCTAGCAAGCAGTGGAAAGATATTTTAGCAGTAAGTACCGTCATATGTAGTCTGCTGATACGACATTTTGATAACACGCATTATGTATTTTTATTCATGGACTACTTTATTTTTACATTTTTAACATAAAACTTAATTTTCTCTGTGTTCACAGATTTGGTATAAAATTTTAAATTGTGTGATTGTGGCACAGAAAAAGTTTGATCTGTGCATAACCCACACACACACACACACAAATTGCAATAGTCGAAACTACAAACCAGTGTAGCACTATAATTCACCTGTAAGATTATGCTATAAAAAACATGTCTCTGAGCCCTTGCAGATATGATCAAATAGAAGTTCCCATTTTCAGTGTTGAGAATTCAGTAATTAAATTATTTTCAATGTCTGTTTTTCCACCCTTTCAGTTGAAGTGTTTACAGTTAATAATGGTGACAGGCAGTTGTTCATTTAAAATTTTGTTTTGTGAGTTGATGGAAACTGGAACTGTGGCAGACATGTAGACCACGTTAGTATGAACCCAAAATATATTTGAATATGTTACTGCATATGAACTTGTGCCATAATTTTAAAATGCACTGGACATTGTTTGTACAAGCAGGCTTCAGTTGGATTAGGTCTTCATTAGATGCTTCTCTGCGTTATCAAGTCAGACACCTTTACCTTGCCACTAATGCTCATTTCATGTAGACAGAGAACACTTATATACATTCATAGCCAGAAAATGAACAAGCTTATTTACCCTCGTTCACCGTCACATTAAGTACAATGTTTTTTTAAATATGGCGTGAAAAGTGTACAAGCCATGAAATGGCCAAAGGACACATTAACTGATGCATTAGTGTGTGAAATGTGTGTCGACGTTTTGGAGAAAGAAAATTATGTTAACAATAGAAAAGTTAACCATTACCAAAGGGTAATAAAGTTCTTGCACTGTTTAAGGAACAGGGCCCATATGATATGGAAGAGCTTTAAGCTCAAAACTGTTACTTTGCAAGTGTCTGCTCTCCACAACTTGCAATGTTTATTGACTTTCATTCCTTGGTATGACGGTGCCTTTGTAATTAAGAAAAAGTTATAAAACCGTGTATGTTTATTCAAGTACACTCTCTTTGCTTCTTAGGCGCCACCTGCGATAACTGAGAAGCTCACAATATGCCCAAATTAAATTTATCATGCAAGATTTGAGGTTTTCACGGCGGTGACTATGAAGAAAGCAGTCTTCTGGCACAGTGTATATGTGGTGTTAACCGACGTTTCGGAGGAACGTATCGCCTCCATCTTGAGGGTAGAAGGAAAAATATAAGAAATCCGCAGGCGAACAGACCGTGAGAACCGGTAAAATTTATCATATTCGGTACAGGAGGAGATGGTTTTGGGCATCTTTATCCACATATAACCGTAGTACAGTTATCTCCTGGAATCTTCAAAATGTGCGAGTGTTTTTTGATGACACTTAGGTCGGTAATTCGTCTCCTTATCCATGGATCACCTTTGATACGTGTAGATGGCAGTAGTAGCAGTATTCTGAGCGTTCTGAGCCGAGTTCTCGAGATGCGATGTGGGCGGATATGAAACAACTATCGATTTGTTCTACCGGTGCTTCCTGTGTATCTGATCACAGCGGCCGATAGAGTTACATGGTTACGTGTTTCTTGTCATGGCGTCGCTAAAGGAGCTCGTTGATGCATTAGTATGTGATTATCTGATTAAACAGGACCCTCATCTTGGAAAGATATTTAAGAAGAAGACATTGGCGGTATGTGACGACTAAAGGTGTAATACGTATTACTTAGTCACGTAGTTGTAGCTTAGTAACTACTTGAGAAAGAGTTTAGCATACCACGTGGTACGCTGGCAATTTTTCAACATTTATTCCTTAACTTTACAAAGGAACGATTAGTTGACTAGTGTGTGATTATGTTGAAAAGGAATGCTTGTATGGCAGTATTTATGTATACGTACGTATATTACGCATTTTTTAACCACGTAGAAGTTTGAAGGTACCACGTGGTTATTGAATGTTTTGTTTTCCCGCAACTTTACAAAGAAACGAAAGGTGTAATGATGTGTTTTCGGTGGCCAAAGTAGTACTAAAATTATTAGCGTTGCAGCCTGTAGTTTGTTTTTTGTGAATAGTTCTATTTTTCGTGTCTCATAAACCTTAAGGTATAAAATTTTATTTATGATTTTGGATATTAACATGCTAAAGCAAATAGGTGGTCATCAAGGGCATGTAAACACTGTTAGTGTTGCTATCGTATGTACTTTTTTATATAATTGTTAATATTTCAGAGGCCATTAAAGAAAGGTTCACCAAGTATATTTGAGGTCGTCAAATGGTATGAAAAGACGAGACCAAGAGAAAAGTCGTCGGATTCTGGTTCAGGTACATAACGTGTTTTTTTTTTAATTTATGTTATACGCAATCTAGTGCACAATACCACAGGTACAGGCTGTTCAATGGGATGTGAACTGTGCCGTTAAGTTGTGTAGGAGCCATTCTTGTGCCGTATCCACACAAGATGGCAGACACACTCCAGCCATCTCCCTGTATCACCTACTCATGTAGAAGTGTGATCAGAATTTTTTCACAGATCATTTCTTTGAGAAAAGTAGTTTTGGCTGAATTTGTTGTTGTACACTTTGTGATTTCCATAAAGGTGAATTCATGGCAGTCTTATGATTTCTGTAAGTGTGAAATTCTGTAACTTGATTGTGCATAATGCTGTCTTGACTGAGTATTGTATGTTGTGTGCATGACATCTGTCTTTTTCCTTAGACGCTGATGAAGACGTCCTTGTTGATGGATCAGCAGCAGAGGCAGATCCTGAAGCATCACAGTCAAGCTCAGAAGATGGGTCAGATAATGACGATGCAGAAGGTACGTACTTTCTGTTATATGTTAGGAAAGTAAAAGTAAATACCTTACTCATGTTTGGCATCAGCACTACAATGAAATTCCTATGTAGTAAATCTCTGGAGAAATTACATCAGGTTTTCACAAATGGTTATGCATAATTACATCAGGAAAGTGCTCATCATCATCATATAAAACTTTACATATGTAAACATGATAAAGTAATTTATTCACATAAATAGGTAAGAGAAATTGTTTCTACACAAATAAATATATTTATGTAGTAATACCGAACTCCATAACAATTTCCAGTAGAGAGAAAACATGAATCTCATTTGTTTTGGTGAGTCACACTGAAACGAGTTCTCAGAGGCAAAGCATTTCTTCATGGGGATTGTTTAACAAATGTGATTTGATTAAATATGGTTGAATGACACACAGTTTACTTTAATTGTACCAGAAGAAATGTTGTATTCAGTATTTATTATATATTTATACAAATGTAAATTGATCTCTTGCATGGCAGGTGCTTTGAATCAAATGTTTGTTGTGATGGTGGCGAGATTCTTTTGTGTTCTGTGTGTGTAATATTTGTCTGGCTCATTATCCTGTAGTTAATTGTATCTAACGAAGACTTGCGAATTGTATGGTTTTGTAAGGGAAATTCATTAAATACTTCATTCAAGTGGGCCCCATATTCGTAAATTATGGCTTGAAGACCAGCTAGCCAGACAGTTCTTTCATGATTTTCCTCAATCCTTCCAGACAAATGCCAGTATAGACCTGAAATTGGCCATGAGCACTTCCTTCCATATACTTTCTGCACAATTAATTGTTACAGTCAAGGCGTTCACTGCTACGTGGTACAAGCTGCTGATACTACGTCATTAACCCCCTGAAGCTGGTTTCTGTATCAGCACTACACTGCACTACATTCTCAAGCAGTATTTAATTTTCTGTGTAGCATAGTGTGCATGTGGTATTCAAGTGTTCTCCCATGTTTAATTAACAGTTGTATAAGCTTCAGCTTACATTCTTTTTCTTATCAGCTGATCTGAAACACATACATGAATTCGTAGATAAAGTGATAGATGGTAAGAAGCATCACCAAATAGAACGTGTTGCATTTAAAATAGTTTCAGTATCTGCAATGGAGAGCAGCTAATAAAGACATTCTTAAGATTCTGCAGACATGCAGCCGCTATAGCTGCACGTTACAGAGCAGTGTACAATGGTACATGGACCCAGCTGCAGGGACATTTGTCATGAGCCTAGCGTAACACTGTGTATGTGTTGCACATCATGTAAGGTGCCCTTAGTCAGAACTGAGATGCATACAACAGGTTATGTGAAACGAAAATAAATTATTTGTACCTCCAAATTTGAGAATTAATGCAGGAGACTTTATTCCTCCTTGTTTGCAGAAGTACCAGAGAAAGAAGAGGGTTCGGACAGTGATGCTTCAGATGCTTCTGATGTGACTGATGAGGACGAAGGTGGCTCCTCTTTGTCTGAAGAGTTAGAAGCAGAGAAACCAGCTGCTCAAAAGAGAAAGAATGAGTACCATGAAGAGGAAGAAAAGGATGTTAAAAGCAAAAAGGCAAGTGTATCCATTTTATTTTTGCTCACCAGAAGTTAGTGGCAGTCCAGATAAAAGTTTTCAAGATTTTTGAAGTGTTAAACCATTAATATACAAATGATCATTGTGCCACTACTGTGTGTACCTACAGTACAGATGGAGTGTGTATCATGAAGTTCTTTAAAAGAACCCTATTTTTCCAGTACACTTTTAGGTGCAATAGTTACAACCTCTTTTGAGACGTCTTTAAAATGGCGTAGTACACTGCACAATCTCAAATGACATGGGAATAACAACATTGCATTTGCATTGAGTGCTTCTGTGTAACGCCACTTTCTGTCTTCTTGCAGAAAAAGAGAGCTTCGGAGCCATCTGCAGACTCTGCAAATGGGACAGAACAGGTGAGCTCTAATGCAGTGTTGTCACTTCAGTTCACTGCTCTTGGCTTTATTGTAGTTACTCTTTTCATTTTGCTTTTAAACATTTTGGAAACATTAGACTTGTGGTTTTGTTTCTAAAAATAAATACATCTAAAATTTTTCTAAGGCGAGGCTTTGGATTCTGTTTTTTTAAATAAATATCTAAGACTGGTGACAGACAAACGTGGGAAGTTCTAAATTTACTTCAATTGCTAAATAGTACAAAAGCACCATTCAAAGATAGTGATCAAAATATACAAAGAAAATTGAGCAGGGTAAAGTTTGTGTTTAAGGAGGTGCTTAAAATTTCCTGCACTAAGTGTGGGTTATTCACAAAATTAAAATTGACTGTATGAGAGTTCACTGTGCCTCAGCGTATTCTAGAAACAGTAACCAGCTTGATTTAACAGCGATGAGTACCACGCCTTCATTGCATGTGAGGAAAACTTGACAGTCATTCAGACTCCTACAAATTCTAGAGAACATGTCCGAATTTCTCAACAGTGGGCATGAGCATGAATGTGGTTCCAGTTCCCTGCTGTGTGCTTTCGTGCCTTGTGGCAGGGCTTATTAACACTTGTTTCTGGTATTTAGGATGAAGAAGGAGGAGGCAAAAAGGGAAAGAACTTCTGGGAGGATAGGAGAGGTTCCTCTAGCGGTAGAGATGATAGAGGCGGATTCAGAGGTCGGGGTGGCTTCCGTGGAGGCCGGGGAGGCTTCCGTGGTGGTCGGGGAGGCTTCCGCGGTGGCCACGGGGGTTTCCGTGGTGGCTTCCGAGGGGGCTTCAGGCATAGTGATGGTGGGGATGGCTTTAGAGGGAGAAGGGGGGGAGGTTTCAGGGGTAGTGGTGGTCGAGGAGACAGGGGAGGATTTAGGAAAAGTTTTGACGGCACAGCTGGCCAGAGAGATTTTAGAGGTAAAGAGATTGGAGGATTCCAGAAGGAGGAGTCTCAGTAGCAGTGAAGAGAAGAGAAGTTGACATTTTAAAGGTAAGCATACATACCATCATAACTGTGTAATATATCCATTTACTGTTGGTATGACTGGTGCCTCAAGTTATGGTGTGTTCAATGTTCCTAGTTTGCCCATTCTGCAGTGGTGAAGGAGTCCATTTTGGAGGTGATGGCACCGGTGAGACAGTGTCTGCTACCAAGTGGTATGGTGATCATATTTCATCTTACAATCCACTATGCATGTAGATTCAGATGAAATTTGGTACCATAGGTCTGCACTGAATTTATTGAGTAAAATTTGTATCTTGTTAAAATTAAAACATGTAAATGTAAAAATATATGGTTATCCCTGTACTTAGTTGAGCACCATGCCATGAACATATGTGGAGGAGTGGCAGTAAAGCTCCATACATTCTTAATCTCAGCACTAGACAGAAGCGAATAGTCAGCTATGTGTCCCAGTTGCTTTACTTTCAGGGTCAGAGCCCACAGTACCCACTGGATGGGCCCCAGAGCTAGTGTGGATGCTGTGGAGTAGAGAAAAATTTGTTGCCTCTGCCAGGAATTGAACAGTGACTTGTCCATTCAGACCGTCAACTATATTTACTGAGGTCGTACTTTAAGAATTCTTTGAAATCATGATTTAGATGAATGTGCACACTGTGGGCTTCAGAATTTCTTGAAAGGCAACTTGATAGAATCATGATGATAGCAGCAGTAGAGAGTTTGGGGCAGAGGAACACAGGTGAACACTAATATCAGCTGAAACACTGCAGTTTATTGCTGATATGTCCTGGTTGTCATAACCAATGGAGACAGGTTTGCATTTGACTCCCTTGTAAATGCCTAACCAACAAGCATTGCCACCAGCTTGTGTTACGGATAACGTGTACGGTGCACTGTTTAAGTTTTTGTTTTTGCAGTTGTTTTCTGTGCTTGATCAGTGTGCACATATTTTGTTGCAGTGAGGTGCTTGAGGGTCATAGGAAGAACATGTTGGCCAAGTTCATGGGAGAGAAAACGTTTTTGCCACAAGAAACAAGAAGTAAATGTGACTGCTATAGTGGAGATTTCATGAAGTCAATAAAACTAAAATCTCATTAAATGCATATACAAAAATGGGACTACATGTGTATGTATGTGTGGCAGATCATAACTAAAATCATCTTATCAGAGGTTAAACAGTTCCTTCCACACTGGACAGAACTGTTTAACCTCTTATGATATTGTTAGTGTGATGGACCAGAATGAAACAAATCAAATTTGAAATCATCTTAATAAGATCTAAAAGTTTGTGATGATGGTATATTAATACAGTTATTGTGTTTTTGAACATTATCCATCATCCTATTTCTTATTTGAAATGCAATATTTCAGGGACTGGATTCTGTTTCTGTCTTTAGGTGGAAACCTACCCAGTTGGGCCCTGTCAATAGAGCTGGTCCCTATCTGTGGACACCAGCACCAACACAGGATATATGAATGTAGCATAACCTTTAACCACCCATGAGAGTTAAAAGAAACATAAATATTTAAAGAACTCCATACACTTGCGTGAGGGCTGTTTTAAATAAAATAAGACAGTGGATAATGTCCAATAACACAATAATTGTATAAGTGTAAAATCATCTTGTGTTAGTGGCAGGTGTGGAATGCCTTCAGTGAACAAATGACTAATGTTTCATCATCGTTATATTCTGTCATCTGCTGCAATGTCATTATTCACTTATGACAGAAAGTTTATAATGCTGGCTAGAAATTATGTATTTGGAATTAAACATACAACATACTGGTGCTTAACTGTCTTGGTTTTTTATCTTTCATGTACCCTTAATCATAACTTTAATGATTAAGTGATATAAGTAGAATTTTAAGCTCCATATTGGATTTGTGTATATTTTGTCACCATACTGTTTTCTAGGTTTCAGCAAGTTGATCAGATATATACATTCTGATGCTTTATAAGTGCTAATGATTGTATCATAACTTGTATCCCCAGCTGGGGTATGCATGATGTCTTCAATGACCTGTCAGTATTATATAAGGCCAATAAACTCTGCCCGTGCAACTGCATAGCAGATTGGAATTCTTTTTTGCATGTAAAAATATGTGCTCTTTTTCATTGCAACCTTCACCCCAACTGACCTTTGTGATAATTATCACACCATGAAGATGGATGTAAAATGGAGGTAATGGGTTCATGACTTATTAGTGACCTTCCTACCCCACCTATTTTATCCCCTATAGCAATCGGGTAAGTTCTCCCTCCACCCCACAATCATTTTAATTAGGCCAGCCTGGATGTTGTATGCTAGGATAAGGTGTTATCCTCACCTGTGAGGACTCTTTGATTCCTCTATTTCCCAGTCACTCATCTCATCTGTCATGCAGAGTATGAATATTTGTTGCGGCTTTCAGGGAATATTCTATTTGGAGAGACTGATATAGCAAGTTGCAAATGCCATATCCGTTGTTAAGTATGTGTAGAAGCTCGAGGTTCGTCCAATATATAGTATGTATATATTACTATCTACAGTCAGGGTATGACTGCTAGGTGCATATTCAATGCTCATAGCTGTGGCTCTTAGTATTTACGGTGGGGTGCTTTCATGTGATTCACAAAATAATCAGTATTATCAAATTGGTCTTCGAAGATGAGGTGTGCTTTCTGTGCTACAGAGACTTAAAATTATTTACAACAATTTTGTGTGTGAAGGTTAAGTTATGGCGAGGGTAGAAAAAGGAAACTAGCAACCGCAACGCAACTGCAATTTCCAAGAACTTTTATCAACCGAAATGAACACGTGTAGCTCTGCTCCAGTCAGTAACATGTGTTCAACTGTTGCTGATAGCAATACTCAGAAATTGCGGTTGCCAGTTTCCTTGGTATGTCCTCGCCCTTAAGCACAACTATCTCTTTACACACAACAGAAAAACTATTGCATTGTCACCGATGAGAGAAAAGCTATTCTGTTGTCACCGACCGAACATGACAGAATTCATGTTCTCTTTGCCTTGACGTCACCTCAAGCCACCATGTTCTACGCGCCGTGTGTGTGTGTGGTACTAGCAGTGCTAGCCGCTTGATGTAATAGCCTACACGGCCTACACAGTTCTTTCGTGGTTTATACAACATGGCGGCAGGTGATGAAGTTTGTGTTGCTGCATTAGTATATGATTATTTATTGAAGAAGGACACTTCACTTGCACAAATATTTCAGAAGAAGACAAAGGCAGTAAGTATGCATAACCATGTGTACTGTATGTTTTTTTTTGTACTTAATGACTAACTAGGTTCGACTGTTGTATATTTATGGACCACGTGAGTGTCTAGCACGCAGTCGTAACCTTAGAAAAGAACGAAAAATATAGTATCTGATTTTGAATCCCGTTTAAACCACACTAAGATACGTTCTTAACTGAGGTATGCGTGTATTCAGTAGTAGTTTTAAGTATTGATATATTCATATTTATTTGACACGCACATGAAGAGGTAAATTTATGCAGGTGGTCACCATATTTCTCGGTTTAGAAAGTAATTTTTGTTATCGAATTATGTTCCTTGCTGTTCCACGAACATATGATAGCTAGCCATTCAAATGTACGATTTTCTACAGCAAGTCATATTTAATGTTAGCTCATTAAAATAATATCGCCACTGTATACACAGTTCTAGTTATGCATACTTTGCATGAAATGAAAGAAACCCGGAATGCGGACTTTGCTTTCTCCAATTTATATGCCCAATTTTCGAAACTACTGAACAGATTTAATTGATACTAGAGTCTGCCAGAAGTTGAAATTAATTTTTTTACACATTGTTTGGTTCACCATTTGTGTTACAAAGTTTTTAGTGCCTGAAGTTTCAAACTCAAAACAGGATAGTCAGCAAAGTACACAGAAATTTGAATGTATAAGGGGTGGGCCTTCTTGGCCCTTGCACCGTGACCACAGTGATCTATTATGCCTACACAGAAGTTTAGCTGGCTAGCCATCTCAGATATGCATTTACAAAAGTACAGTGTGTCACATATGTATGGAACCATGGTCAGTAGCATCTTCGGAAGCAAATCGTCACTGCATACAGTGAGACCACATGACAGATCATGTCATTCTTTTGGATCGACAGAAGTGTTTGTATCAATGTCTGAGATTCATATAATTTCCTGTGAATTAAATTTAGGTCTAGGAAGTCTGATGTGTAACAGATTCGTGACTTATTGAACGTACACAGAAAAAGATTGATGATCCGTGAATCAAAATGATAAAAATGGGAATTTATCACAGGTGCCGAAATAAAGGATAAATTTCCGCGTTTCTTTGTCCAGTTACTGAAGATGAAATAGAACGTGTAACAAAAAGTTTAAAAGGCAAACTTTCAGCAGGTTGTGATGGAATTCAAGAATATCTAGTGAAACAGTGTATAAAATATATTAAAAAAACACTTGTTCATATTTAGAATGCCTCGTTAAGTCGAGGCACTTTCCCAGACAGATTGAAAATAGCAAAATTAATACCTATGTATAAAAGGGGGGGCATTCATGATGTAAAAAATTATAGACCTATATCCATTCTATCAGTATTTTCCAAAATGCTAGAAAAAATAATGTATAATAGGTTAATGCCTTTTTTGGTGGAAAATAATGTATTAACAGAAGCCCAGAATGACTAGGAAAAATAAATCAACAGACACAGCAAGTCAGACTTAAGTATGCAGGAGGTATTAGGTAAAGGAATTTTTGCCATAGGATTATTCTTTGATTTAACAAAAGCATATGATGTGATAAATCATGATATATTATTAGATAAATCATATTCATATGGCATAAACCTGTGGTTTAAATTTTATTTGTGAAATCGATTGCAGTTTGTTGAGGTTGAGGACACAGATTGTAGAAAACCCCATAGACAAAGTTACACTTCTTCATGCATGAAAGTGGAGCACAGCATGCCGCAAGGATCAGTTCTGGGGCCGCTTTTATTTTTGCTGCATATAAATGTTCGAGGGGAAAAATTGATCTTATTTTGCAGGTGATACTAATTTGTTGATTACTGGATCAGATGAAGTTGACCTTCAGCATAAAGTAAAAAACGTGATGAGAGAGTTAAATATATGGTTCGAGAAAAATAATCTTATAATCAATTTTGAAAAAAACATTTGTTATTTCATGTCATCCAGAACAAATGAGATTTCCATTAAGACCACAAATAAATTTGAAAACTTTAAAAATTACCTATAAATCAGAACTGAGATTTTTAGGTATTTACATCACAGAGAATTTAAAATGGAGTGCCCATGCTCGATTTTAAGAGCTAAGTTATGCAAAGTAGTTTATGTGATAAAGAAACTAAAAGAAACGTTGAGCCCATGTATGATAAATATCTACTTTTCAAATTTTGAGTTCTGTCTTGCGTTACAGTAATATATTATGCAGAGGGGATAACGAATGTGTCAAACAAACTCTTTAAACTGCAAAAAAGGTCACTTGAATTATCAGTGGGGTTAATAATCGAATGTCATGCTGACAAATTTTTAAAGATTATAATATTTTAACATTGGCAGTGTTATACATTTTTGAAGTGATATGTTTTATTAAAAAATATAAAGAATGTATGACAAAAAATGTGGACATCCATAATTACAACACACAAAGAAAACTAAATTTACGTGTAAATCATTGCATTACAGTTATTTTTAAGAAAAGCGTTATAAATATGTATATTGCCTTCTATAATAAGGTCCCTGAGCAGATAAAATTAAAAAAATATTAACTCTTAAGATTAAAATCCTTGCTGTTGAAACATTCCATTTTTTCTGTTGATGAATTTATGTCCCAAAAATTCTGAAGTGAGTGTGTTATGGTTTTAAGTTATGACAAATATCTTGTCCTCACTAAATCAATAAAAGAAGATGTTGGATGAAGAAAGCAGTCTTCTGGGATTTGGCACCGTATATATGTGGTGTTAACCGACGTTTCGGAGGAACGTATCGCCTCCATCTTCAGGGTAGAAGAAAAATATAAGAATTCTGCAAGCGAAGAGACCGTGAGAACCGGTAAAAGCAGAATGTGTGGAAATATACACAGCTGTGTGAGAGCAGTGAGGGAAGGGGGGAAGGGCAAGTATACAAGTGAAAGCAGTAGTGTGGGAGGGGTAGGGGAAGGGAGCTGGGACAAGCGTGTTTTTGTGTAGGGGAGAGAAAGGCAAGGTTAAAGGCTGGGCACTAATCCGTAAGCTGAGGGGGGTGGGGGATCCCGGGATCCGGGATATGGCGCCAGATCCAGAAGGCCACACAGGCCATGACCAACCAACATAACAACCACCCCCACCCCCCTCAGCTTACGGATTAGTGCCCAGCCTTTAACCTTGCCTTTCTCTCCCCTACACAAAAACACGCTTGTCCCAGCTCCCTTCCCCTACCCCTCCCACACTACTGCTTTCACTTGTGTACTTGCCCTTCCCCCCTACCATCTCTGCTCTCACATAGCTGTGTATATTTCCACACAGTCTGCTTTTACCGGTTCTCACGGTCTCTTCGCTTGCAGAATTCTTATATTTTTCTTCTACCCTGAAGATGGAGGCGATACGTTCCTCCGAAACGTCGGTTAACACCACATATACACGGTGCCAAATCCCAGAAGACTGCTTTCTTCATAGTCACCGCCGTGAAAGCCTCAAATCTTACAAGATGTTGGATGTTGGGTTTCTTTTCGTATTGAATTGCTGAAAGTGGGAGGATGTATTGTATGACAGATTTGTATGAAATCTGTAGGTAATTATGTTTCATAGTATTGCTGACTCATGTATGATATGTATGTTATTTTAATATGTAGTAATTGACTTGTTCTATACCCGGAGGTTGTATCTCCAAGGATGGATTCTCAGAACAAATAAACTGATTGATTGATTCTCATTCAATTAAGCTAAGACTTGTAATTGTTTAATTATTATTTCAGAGCCCCCTGGCAAAAGGCTCACCTACTATATTAGATGTGTATAAGCAGTATCAAACAAACTCTTTACCAAAGAAGAAGGTTCAAGTACAGGGCCATGTGGCTCCACAGGAATCAGAGTCATCTGACTCCAGTTCAGGTAGGTTGTCTTTCATTTTATTCGTGCCTTCCGTATGTAAAGCGTTAGCCTGCAATATGACGTGACATATCATTGCTCCACAAAGGGCTGCGATTGGACCCTGTTCTCAGTCAATACTTTTAACTTCATTTCATGTCTTGCCTTCTTTCAAAGTGTCCTCCATCATGATCTTGGTCTTCTGCTTCCACTCCTGTGAGAATTGCAGGCCTGTCCATATCTTACTACCCACCCTCTTCGCTCCCTGAGGATATATTGAAACCATTTTATTTTCTTCTTTCAGTTTCCTCTGTAATTTCTTTCTTCCCGGTTTTCCTTCAAAGCTCTTGGTTGGAAACCACTTCTGGACATTTTGCCTTAAGTTTGTAATTATGGGCAAAAGTTTGACTTCTTGTTCGCAGCTAACCTACATATTGCTGTCAAAGATACTTAAATGAAATTACTTGCTCACCACACTGAGAATGGTCATGGCTTTGTTGCTTCTGTGAGAATTTGGCACCAACATAAGTGTCTTCACCTTTTTTCTTAGCCACACTCCCCAAATATGTAAATATATTCATTGCAAAATGAAGTTTGTTTGCTTAATGCCCTCCAACTGTGTGTGATATTGTATAGTCTCTTAATTGAAGGCGGAGACAGTATGTTCCCATGAAAGTGTCCAACCCATGGTAACATAAGCCAGAAGACCATAGTAGCCATCAGTGGGAGACCAAAAGTTTTGTCCCAATGAACATGTCATTCAAAGATTGTGGAAAGTGAGAGCCATCCCTGGAATGCAATTTGCCGCCTTGTATGTTCCTTAAATGTCAGCTAATTGCCATTTAAATAGTTTAAGATCTTATGCTGTTGGGCTGTAATTTTGGTCCCAGGCTGCAGTGGGCCTAATTTTGTCTACATTTTCGAATAATAGTGCTCAGATAAAAAGATTTGGGTACATCTGAGAATGACACTTGGCATAGAAGTGACAGAGGAATGGGTTAAGCTTACTGGAATCCCACAGATACTTGTTCTTGGATGGATTTGGCTTGAGGCTTTACACGGTTTGCATCATTTTTCTTGAGCTCTGGCAGAAGTTGCAGGGAGATGAGTGACAGCTGCTGGGGCATTTTGCTCGTGTGCCACTCTGTCGATTTTCTGAAAGGAAGTCTGTAGCAAGAGTAGGGGCTTATGGTCAGTGTTTGCTCTTAGGTGAATACATGTTGCATCATACTGAGCTAACTTGCTGGCCTCTACAGGGATCCTTTCTACACCAGAGATGGGNGGGGGGGGGGGACTGACACGGACTGTAATGCCGCTGAAGAAACCGCGTTAAACAGATGAATACAGGATTGTGCCAGTTTTATCATGTTAATACTGTCACGTGTTGGGTATGTAACGTGAAAAATAACTTAACGCCATTTTGGATGTAGCGAATACATTGAACACTCGCTCTTACACTCACACAGTTCACAGTTTCCCAATTACTGCAAGCTGCAGTATCACAGTTACTTCTGATGTAGTCCTTTCCATTCACTTGATGCAACTCGACTCGTAGCTGCTGGACTTCACTGGACTCATCTCTTCGAAGGCAAACTGGCTTCGGCAGCTGTACCATCCACACTGTCTGGGCACCACGCGCACACTATCTCACACACTGCTCAGCCGGCCTTTTATACCGTTCCCTGTTGCCCCGTGTTAACAGCGGTGTGCCTGTTACATCACCGTGGGGGGGTGGAGTGGAGTGTTTACTGGCCTGTTACCATAGCAGCAGCTCCTATGCTGTTACATCACTGCTGGTGGAGGGGGGTGTGTGCCCTGCATCATGCAACGTCACACTGCTCCCTCCTTAAGGCCGTTCTTCCCGAACAGGCTAATGGTGCATCCCCGTTCCTCTTCTTTGGAGTCTGTTCTTGCAACGTCTTCTTTTTGTCCGGCTACTCCTCTTGCAGTGACTATTTTCCGGCTGTTACAGAATCTGAAGAAGATGATCCTAAGAAGCCAGTTGCTCCAGTTAATGGCAAAGTAGCAAAGAAGCCACCAGCAAAGTAAGTAAAGTGTTTTATTTCTGGCTTCTGGAATGTTGTCAAAGCCATCTTGACCCACTTGTTTCTTGCACGATGCGTTAACCCCACAGTCGCTACACCATGGAAGTGTAGTAAGACTACTGGGAAAGTCAAGTTCCAAACAGAAATATTTTGGTTCTTTATGCTGATCTGTGTGCCAGAATTTTTGTCTACTGCAGCATCACTATTTAGCTGTATTGGGTTCCTTCACAGAGATTGTAGCTCAGAAGAGAGCAGTAGTGATGATTCTGAGGAGCCCCCAGTGATAGCTCCCCACAAGCCCCAGCAAGTGAAATCTCCCCCAAAACCACCTCCAGTTCCGAAGAAGCAGCCAAAGAAGAAACCGGAGAGCAGTAGTGATGACAGTAGTAGTGAAGAGGAAGCACCCACAGGTAGCAAATATGAGTTGATATTTTCCTGTAGCATATTAACTCTCTCCCCTAAGCGAACTGAAGGTTCAGTGTTGATGCTGCCAACACCAAAACCAGCCAGTGGATGTAGTCTCTGAACAAAGATATAAGATTCATAATGCTCTCATAATCAGTGTGGTGGTAAATTAATAAAGTTGTTTGTAGGAAATACATGAGAGGATAGAAAAGGGCTTAACTTTAACATGCAAGAAGTTTCTTCTTCTTCTATAGTGCCAGTCAAGACTTCACCTGTGAAATCTCCTGGCCAGAAACCTCCTAAGAATGCACCTGTAGTTCGGAAGAAACAAGAATCGTCATCTGACGAGGATAAACCAAAAGCAAAAGCTGTGTCCAAGCCTTCTCCACCGAAGTCTCCAGTCAAGACACCAGCAAAACCTACATTATTAAAAAAGAAGCAGGAGTCCAGCTCAGAAGATTCCGATGACAGTAAGTACAGAGGTTCCGCTTGTGAATGCACAATCCTCAACTTTTTGGTCCTCTGAGAACATCAGTTCTTTGTTTTTTGCCTCCATGTCATCACTTTCAGCTCTCCTCAATCACTCTCTCCATCTGCAAGCCTTCTCAGTAACCACATTTCAGTCTTCCTTGTGTGGCATTTCAGTCAAGACATTTAGTGGTTAGATCTTGTAATCAGATATGAGCCCAATTTGATATTTGTACACTGCAGCTCCTGTTTAATTTAATGTTTACCCTCATTTAATGCCCCTTGTTAGTGGTCCCAATCAATAATCCTAGTGTTAAGATTTCCCCATTTAAGGCTTCCTCCTGTTTGGTATTCATATCTTAGCTTCCTGAAGAAATCTTACACTTGAACCCCATTGCCTCAGCAAGAGATAATTTAAACAATTATTTTGGATATTGTCCAGCATCTTGAGTCTTGGACATTCTCCAGAGTAATTGTGTTTATTGTTAGAAACATTGAGAGAAGGTAATTTGTTCTAAATGGTGAACTTTGCTTTGAGAAAGCTGTGTGCAAAATGAACTTCCTCAGAGAACTTAGGTGGCAGTGCAGTGGATCCACCTGAATTGAGGTATACTGTCACGTATTTGTGAACAAGGCACTCAGTTTGAGATTTGCGTCTAAGTTTAAATATTTCAGTATATGCACAACCAAAGTCTGTAAGGTTGATGCCTTTGTCCACAAGAGTCTGCTGCTGGTTCCTAACCAGATGCAAATCCACACTGCCCCCATGAAGATCCATTTTAATGTTATCTTTGCACCTGTGTCTGGGTCTTCCACTCCTGCCCTTCAGATTTTGCAATGAGAACTTTGCTTCTGTTTGTCATATTTTTCCATGTATGTTACATTCCCCACCCATCTCATCCTTGTTTAGAGGGGGTTTGAGATAAAATGGGGCCAGGTAATAGCGTAGTTGGTTGAGGCACTGCTACAAGCTGGAAGGTCGTGGGTAGAAGCCCAGATGACGTACATTTTTTTCAGTTTATCTAATCCTTCCAGCCACACTATGGCCCCGGGGTCAACTCAGCCTCTAACAGAAATGAGTACCGGGAATCTTACTGGGGGTAAAGGGCTGCCGGTGCATAAGACTGACACCCTCACCACCATCCATGAGCCGACTGCCTAGAAAATGTGGGAGCCTCAACGTCTCACAACACAATTGGCCTCTGCAGCCTGTTACAGGGATGGCTTTACCTTTGTTTCTTCTCTTTCTTTCTCCAACCCCCCCCCACGATAAAATAACATCATGGGATTTGTGGTATTTCACGATTTTTCTGTAGGCTCTGACGAGGACGCACCAGCTGTTACAGTTCCACTGAAGGCGAAGGTAACTCACCCCATAGCTGCACCAGTTCGTACAAAACCAGAGTCCAGCTCAGAGGACGATAGCAGTTCAGATGATGAGGCAACACGTATGTAGTTTGCATTATCTGTAAATGGTTCAGCTATTCCTGTGTATTAGTGAACGGACAGTACGTACCCCATGCATTCTGAGCATCAGTACTATATGGAAGTCATTATTTAGTGTTTCCCACAGGAAAACTCTCTGATACCTGTTGTGATGTGTCCAGGGGAAGGAAGTGAGCAGAATAATTCTGATGTCATTGACAGAATTTGAAGCCCAAATCAACTGGTTTCATAGTCCACCGCTTCGTTCCTAGCTATCACAGCTAATGTTCATGAATTAATTAAACATCTATGTATTAAGTCCATCAATAATGCAACAATCATTAAAATATACACCAACACTAACCCGACATATTTTGGCCACAGACAGCCATCCTCAGGTGTTCCAATGCATCCAAACTGTTAGACTGCTTTGATGCATGCTAAAATTGCATGTTGCTGTCCACTTAAAATAATATAAATAATTACAATAATAATTGCAACGCACAATTTTGGCGCGCATCAAGGCAGTCTTAACAGTTTGGGCATATCGAAACACCTGAGGATGGCCATCTGTTGCCGAAACATGTCGTGTTAGTGTTGAATGGTGAATATTTTAATGATCGTTGCATTATTGGCGGACTTAATACACAGACGTTTAATTAAAGATGTGCAACAGGATGCTGAAATCATAAGTCATGAACTACCCTCTTATTTAACAAAATTTTTGGGATCCAAATATAGGATAAATTAAAATGGGCCATGGAAGATTGTTTTTGAGGGTGTGAACTGAATTGGGTCCCAGCTGGAATGGGGGGGGCAGTGAGTCTGCTTTTGGTGAAACTGGATTCTGCTTTGAGACTTCAAAGTTTATGTTAGGCTGTAAGTTTAAGCCATTTATTTCCTCGTACTTACATGTTATGACTGCTATTCGTGCACTGTGTTGGATCACAAGTGTTTTATGGAGTTGTGTTCATGGTCTAGTTCTAAATGAAGATTGTCTTCTGGCATGTGATGCCATGCAGTCTAATATATGATTACCATTGTTTCAAAGGAGTGTACAGATCCTCCATCTTCAAGGTAGAAGAAATTTTCTTACTCTTTCACCCTGAGGATATAAGCAGCACATTCGCTTGAAGTGTCAGTAAATACGTGCCAAACTACACTGTCATATTTCAGTCACTGCCATGAGAGCCTCATATGTATGTTCTGCATGATTGATTTTCAGCTCCAAAGCAACCAGTAACCACTCCAGTCACATTGAAGAAGTCAAACAAACCAGTATCAACCCCATACCCTACAAAGAAGCCGGTGGAAGAGTCGAGTTCAGAGGAATCAAGCTCAGAAGAGGATGCACCAGCAAAACCACCTGTGAAAGGTTGGAAGCCCCTCCCACTTTAGACAGATACGTGTGCCTTATCTTTTAACGAGTTCTGTAAATGGTAGCTGTCCCGTGCTGTTGTAGCATCAATTTTTGGATTCGTGGTGCATAATCGATAAATAGAATGCATTCCATGGTCAGGGAAAGACAGCCAAAAAGCATGAGGGAGCTGTGTTCTGGTGACGTGACAAAATAGTAGCACTTTAGATTGTGCAGCTGTTTCATAGAATAGCCAACTGTGTTCCACAGCTGTTGGCAGTTGGTTAAACCCATAATGCATTTTTTTAATTTTGATGAATTGGGTTGGGAGGTGTTTACTGAATGTTACATGGTAGATATTAAGTAGGGGTCTGTGGGCCAGAATGAACTGTTGTGTCGCAGTAATCCCCTTTTTGACATGAAGAAAAAAATAAATTAACGATGAGATGAAAACTCTGGAATTAACACAGTTTTGGGTTACAGTAGCAACAAATTCTTGATCAAACATGTTATATGAACAGGAATTTTGTAGTTGGTCATGAACCAGCTAGGGAGCAGTCATTTGTTTTGATATGCCACATCTGTTCTTCTGAATTAATTGATAATCTTTGTTTTTATTTCAGTACCAGCAAAGCAGACACCAGCCAAGAAAGCAGAGTCAAGTTCTGATGATTCTGATGATACTTCAGATGATGACGAACAGAAACCTCCTACATCAGCAGCCAAGAAACCAGTTGTACCAACCGCTGCTGCTCAGAAGAGACAGCGTGAAGATTCTAGTGAAGACAGCAGTGATGATGATGATGATGACGACGATGATACAAAGAAGGCAGATGCAAAGCAGAAGAGTGTGAGTGGATCCATTTAATTTTTTTTTGTATTAGTCAGAAGAAAAGGGGGGTGGGGTCAGATTGGGTCGCCCTTAGGCCTTAAGCTATGCTAAATGTGGCCTATAATTTTGTAAATGATACTACTAAGTATTATAAAGAATGTTATTTGAATAATTGCATGGCTGAGCTGTTATAACGATAGAAGAAGTAAAATTGTCCATGTGTTTAATTAGACACTGTGCTGTGACAAAGTGGAGGTTTAGATTGATGTATTCTTGACTGGTCAGCTTCATGCCTTGGCTGCTGTACCCCTGAAGAAAGAATCACAGGAATCCACTGTACAGGAGGCTGGTTGAGCCTCAGAGCTGGTCTGGACACTGGAGAAGAGAGAAATCTCTTTCTGATCTTTGGCCAGCCTGTCTGTAGCCCAGTTTTCAGTTTCCAGAGCTGTAGCTCTATCTTAGCAGATGTAATCAGCTGTTTACGAGGGAATGTTGTGCTCGCCATGTGGGTAATATTTCCTGCCTTGTTTGGAATCCGTAAGCTGTAAATCGGATTTGGGATTGGGAAGTGACCAGAGCAGTTGCCCTGGCTAATTCACAAAACAGAAATAGAATCCCTGAGACTTTTTCTTCTCAAAATTCACAAAACGTTACTTTGTAACTAACTTCATGGAGCTGAGCCCTTCTTGACAAACTGCCAGTTTTGAAACTGATCAAGAGCTTCCCAGCATTTTATGGAACCTGAAGGTACAGTACTATGTTCAGAAGAGCCCTCCCTCCGCTGGTCTTTATCCTGAGCTAGATAAATACAGTCCATACCACCTCATTCTATCTGTATAAGTTCCATTTTAATATTATCCACCCACCTATGTCTTGGTCTTAGTAGTGGTCTCTCTCCTTCTTGCTTTCCTACCACCAATATCCTATATACATTCCTTTCCCCCAATTCATGCTAAATGCCCAGCCCATCTCATCCTTCGTGACATGTTCATTCTAATTATACTTGGCAAATAGTACAAGTTATGAATCTCCTCAGTGAAAGTTATTTTGTATTTTTGTTATAAGACTAAGAACACAAAAAGAATTATTATGACCTATATTAATAGTTACTGATAGGGGCCGCCATATTTTGATTGCCCCAGAGCCCCCACAACCATAAATGCATCCCTGTATATCTTGTTCAGCTTATGTGTAAATCCGACCTTGAAGCAGTTGTTAAGGTATGTAAGATTGGGTTGACTTCTCAGTTTATAACACCACTTCCTGTCTTATTGCAGAAAAAACAAGCACTCGAACCGTATTCCAACTTTGTTAAAAGTCGTAATTCCTTCGGCGGACCGGAAAAGGTAAGCTGTGTGTTTGCCGTACTGCTATCGGCGTCATTTATACGTATAGTCATATTGTCAGCTATTCCTCTGATGAATGTTTGGGGCACTTTTTCTGGTACTTCATTATGAATTTCTAAGAATTTTCTTCCAGTCATACCTTGGACGAGTTCGTCATTATAACGTGCGAACTTCTACACTGTCTTGGTCTGTGTTAAAACCACATGCTGTAGTCCTCTTTTCAAGGCAAAACCAGATAAAATTCTTTAAAGTTTCTATTATACCCACGTTATTTTGGTGCATATTATTTCACCTGACACGGGTTGTCGTCCATTGTTCATAAATGTATATCTGTCCTGGGTGTTTTGTCTCCGCAGCTTCCCCTCATGTTCGTAGCCTACTTTTCAGTTATGAAATTGCCCCTGGTTTGTGTGTTTCCTCCACAGCGTGTTGTGTTGCCCTAGTAAAGTATATTCTACTAGTTTATAATGTTAAACTAAAAAGTTGAGTGGTGAATGGAAGAGTGCTGCATTATTGACAGACGATAAATAATGAACATTAAGTTGAACAATTGCAACGGGATGCTGAAATACAGAATCTTGAGTCATCTATCTGATAACTTGATTCATAAGGCTAATGAGTGGTGTTTGTAAGTCAAGTCGGCTGCATTGCATGAAAATTAATCAGTTGTTGAAACATGCAGACATTGTCTTTTAAAATCCCTAGTATGCATTTTACTTCTGTTTAATGGCACAAAATTTTACATTTAACATATACAGAGTAATTACTGGATTTCCATATGCCGCACCATTATGGCGCCGATGAAAACTCTCCCAAGCAGGATTCAGCTTCACAGGGAACCCCCTGCTTAACGTTTTCATTTCAAGGCTTTTCCCTTGTTTAATGCTCAATTTCGGTGACCTAGAGTCAGTAATCTCAGTGTTTGATTTCCATTGTTTTAAGATATTTCTAAGCATAGTGTTTGAATGTGTGTCCCAAAGAAACTTTAAGTACAGATCTTGTTGTAGCATGTTTTAATTCATTTTAATGTATATATTTAGCTCCTCAGAACAGCACCCAAAGTCCTCAGGAATGGCCGTTTCATTTGGTCACTCAGCAGACCCATTATTTGTTTAAATCCTGTCCTTGAAATGTTTTGAATTATTACGCATATATTTTTTGACATTAATTTACTCTACACTCAGGCAAAGAACACACCATTCCGAAGAGTGCGTGAGGAGGAGGTACAGATTGACCCTCGACTTTTGAACAATTCATTTGAATCAAAGGTAAACCATAACCTCAGGATTTATAACTAGCAGACCAAAGCAACGCATGAAAGTGTCACATTCGAGCAGTAAGTCGGGTTTGAGTTTCTCACGGCAGTAACTTTGAAGAGTCTGGTGTTCGGGTTGTAATGCCTTGTAATTCAGAGAGAGACCAATATGCCATGCTTACCACCTGCTTCTGCTGGTTTCTTGTTTGGCTTTCTCTTCATCCCTGAAGACGGAGGTAGCCTGTTCCGCCAAGATGTTGCGCTCTCTCCACACTGCATGGTGTTAAACCCAAGTGACTGTACTCTTCAGTTTTTATGTAAGTTTAGTTCTGTGTCATTAAATTATCCAGGTACAGTGAAAGTCCATGGACAGGAGTAGCACATAAGAAGGAGAGGCCTGCCATCTCCAGATTTAACCCTTCTTTGCCTGTGGTTTGGGGCCAAAGTCAGAGGCGTATTGTAGAAACATTCCTAAGCAGAGACTGATGTGGGACATGTGGATAGTAATAAATAACGTTTTGAGGTGTGTGTGTGTGTTTTTTTTTTTGTGCTATGTTTTGTAGAAAAATGTACACACTATCATGTGATTAAGAAATTTATTTGAATTTGACCCCCTTTCATAAAAATATACAAGTACTTTCAGGACACTGTGTGTTATATCTTACAGAATACCTGTCAAGTGGCATTTGACTGGTATACTCGTATATACAGGGGTCAAGATTTCGGTCACATGAAACTGGTAGAGGAAACTCAAAACCCATGCATGAAGGATGTTGCATAGTTGCAGAATTTAAACAGTTTGAGTATAGAGGTGGAAAGTCTTGGAATGTGAAACTGGTTGCGCTGAAAACATGTTCACAACGTGCAGTTTGTCAGACTGAAAGTGCATATGGCAGGATAGTGGGTTCTGTGAGGAATGCCTCGTTGGTTTAACAGTCCTGAGAATGATAATGTTTGCTTAAAATTGGCATGATTCTGTGTGACGCATAATGCAGGGAATGTCGATGTTAACCAAAAGAGTAAAAGTAACACAACACAGTATGGTACTACGATCTGATATCTCTTGTAATGTACCAAAGAGTAACTGTTATTCATTAACTGTTGTACTTCTAGATGTTATAAAGTGGATGTAATGAGTTTCTTTTGTATTGGTTTTTTTTAACAACTGTTGCAGTAGTGGACTTTCACTGTACATTTTATTTAATTTATTTTAATTGTACCTGTTCTTTGATGTAATTATCTTACATTACTGTTGCTTTTTGAACTTTACGAAACTGATACATACTCGTGAGTTGCGACGTCTGCATAAGTGGGGGTTATGGTGTGCCTGATCATGAATGTTACTGCACCCATTGCTGCAATACCCTGTTGTGTGCTTTCATGCCTTGCGGCAAGTCTTATTAACACTTCTTTTTGGGGTTTAGGATGGTGACCAGGATGAAGAAGGAGGAAACAGAGAGGGAGGCAGGAAGAACTTCTGGGAGGATAGGAGAGGTTCCTTTGGTGGTAGAGATAATAGAGGCGGATTCAGAGGAGGTCGGGGTGGTTTCCATGGTCAGGATAGAGGAGGCAGAGGTGGTGGTGGCGGAAATTTCCGAGGTGGCAGAGGAGGCTTCCATGGTGGCCGAGGGGGCTTCAGGCATAGTGACGGTGGAGATAATTTCCGAGGCGGTAGAGGAGGAGGTTCCTGGGGTAGGGGTGGTCGAGGAGGAGATAGGGGAGGATTTAGAAAAAGTTTTGGTGAAGGTGGCCGCGGAGGTTTCAGAGGTGATAATGCTGGAGGATTCCAGAAGAGGGACTCGTTTGGTGGCAGTGAGAACAAGAAAATTAAGTTTGATGATTGAATTTGAAGGTAAGTTAACAGAAATGTTATCTTAATTGTACATTGTTTCTAGACTTTGTGTACAAACGTTATTCGGAAAGTAAAGATACAACGTCCAGAAAATATTTGTAAAGCATTTTTTTATTCACTTGTAGCACTTTTGCCAAACCTTTATTTACTTTTCAACATTATCACCATGGATCGCAATGCACTTTGTGAGCCTGGGAATGAGTTTTTTTATTCCATTGTCATAGAAATCTCCCACCTGCTCTCTTAGCCATGTTATCACCACTTCCAGCCAGACTTTCCTTCAATTTAGAAAACAAGTGACAGTCACTTGGTGCAAGTTCTGGTCTGTATGGTGGATGGGCCAATACTTCATACTTGAAGGACTGTAACAACTCCTCTGTGGCTGAAGCAGTGTGCAAATGGGCATTATCATGCAATAAACATACTCCTCACATCAGCATTCCTCTCCCGCTTCTTTGAATAGCCTGATAACAGTTTTTTCAGCATCTCACAGTAAGTAGCAACATTGATGGTGTCTCCTCAAGGCAAAAGATTGATGAGAAGTGGCTCCTTCCTGTTCTAGAAGATGGTTGCCGTGATTTTTCGGTTTGATGGTGAGGTTTTAAATTTTTTTGCTGTTTGTGAGAATGTGTGGCGCCATTGCACTGATTGTCACTTATTCTTAGGTGTGTGATGAGATACCCAAGTTTCATCTCCCGTTACAATACAGTCCAGAAAGTCATCATCTTGATCCTCATAACATGTGAGGAATGCTTCCACCACAGCCACTTGATTTTCCTTGTGATTGTCAACATTTCTGGCACCCAATTTGTGCAGTTTCATGGAGAATAGGTCTTGACACTTGAATATTGTTGATGAAGTTCATTGATGGTTAAATGTCTGTCAGCATGAATGTTTTTATCAGTTTTCATATTACTTCATCAGTGATATTGGATGGCCTCCCACTCCTTATTTCATCATGAACCTCACTTCCTCATGCTTCATATTTCTGACACCATTTTGCCTCTTCATAATATCTTCACCGTAAACGGAAACAAGTTGGCAGTGAATCCCAGTAGCAGTTTCTCCTGTTGCGTGAAGAAATCAAATTACTGCACGAACCTCTGAATTGACACGGCCATTTTAAACACTGCGAGCGCCATCGTTGATGTTACTGTGGCTGGTGAACTCTGCCTTGTCATATGGTTCCTATCTCATATGGCAACACTGCCATTTCTGAAAAAAAAAATACATAAAAATATCCTTACATTTTTTACTGGGCATGTAGTTGTGGCTAATTCTGCTAGCTATAAACTGTTTTCCTCACCTCTCCACTCTGTGGCAGTAGTGAAGCCATAATCTGAGATGGAGATGCTTATGAGGACTCTGTTTACTGCCCTGAATGTCACTTTTTCCCAGTAATACTTCTGCATTACATGGATGATATTAACAGTGTCTGGTTCCAAATCAGATATGAGTTCAGAGTGAAAGGTAATTGCCAGCGTGTATTTCATATTTTGAATTTTTATTTCAGGAACCAGCAGATCCATATATGTGTTTGCATGCATGCGTGTCTCTCTCTGTTTGTCTATATTGTGTGTCTAATACATCTTCGAGGGTACATCATCATCAGAAAGTTACTGGATTCTGTTTTGAACATACAATGTGTACAAAAATTTCTATACTGGAGGTCTTGTGCAATGCATAGGACTTTTCCTCCATAAGATTGTCTACTCAAAGTACAGGGTGATTCATATAGAACTGGCCTGACGAAATGAGGTGTAATATAAAATATTAAAGTAATTTACACATATCTTATCTTGGATTGTGTGACGTGATCAGAGCAGGTGTTGAAAGTGTCCGCTGTTTTCAAGTAGGCATTAGAAACACTCGCTGTTCAACAGTGTATTCCACGACTGTCTACTGCCCACTGCAGACACGTTTTGGCATAGTCCTTGACCTTGCAGCATAAGGGCTGCCACTTGCCAGATCATGTGCACACCATTCGACTCAGCACAGCCCACGGATTGTTATGTCGTAATTGTGAGCGGTTATATGCATCACCTGGGGAATTATTAGCAAATTCATCAGGCCGGTTCTATACGATTCACCCTGTATAATGTACCCATAGAGATGCTTTAGACAGTGTTTACTTTGAACAGGGATAGGATGTGTAGGACTGATGTTTTATTTCTCTCTCTCCCGCTCTCTTTGGGATAAGTTCTTTTTTCGCTTCATGTACATGTATCTTTGTTTGCAGAAGGGTGCTAGGGGTTCATGGGGAGAACGTGCCAACCGGGATCTGAAGTTCGCTCGAGGAAAGAGCTTCCGACATGAAAAGACAAAAAAGAAACGTGGGAGCTATCGTGGGGGTCAGATCTCCATGGAAGTCCATTCAATTAAATTTGATGATTAAGATGATTGTACAATAGGGTGACTGCATCTGTGAGAACACGTGTGACACTTAATAGCTTAAATCATCTTGTGTTAGTGACCTGTGAACAGCCTTCAATGCGTAGAACAGTACAGTCATGTTTTATTGGTATTAAAGTGTACTTCACAGCCTTCTCAGAAGTGATCCATTCTTTTGTTATATAGAAACATGAACTGTTGCAGTCTCACTGGTATTTGATAATGAACTGAGTCCCCTAACACTGTTTACGAACTGTGTATTGGAAATAAAGGTATGCTTGTTATATATTGTGTATATTTTATATACCCTTGATCACAGCTTCAATAAATAAATGGTGTGTCTGAAACTTGAGCTTATTCTTGGATTTGAATAAAAGATAACACCTTCGAGTGTGATTGATAAATGTTGTAGTTTTACAACACAGCATTGCCTGAACAGCTGGACAACACTAAAAGAGTCCTATTTTTCAAACAACAGAACCACGACGTGACATACATTCATCTTCCTTTAAAGAGAAGTATAAAGACCTGAACCAAATTGGTTCTAGTTTTTAACAAAGTTTTTAAACACTACTTTGTAAATAGAATGTCCTGAAGATGGTCGCTCTTACCTAAACATGTAAAGGATGAAAGATTAAAAACTTTGTCAGTCACACTGAATTGCATTAATCATCTTGTACTATTGTTAGTGTGACAGACTAGGATTAACAAAGTCAAATTTATTCTTGAATTTATTTGATGACCATACTTACCTCTGAGAGTTGAGGTTCCCACTTCAGTGACGGGTTCAATGCTACAAGCCAGAAGGTCATAGGGTTGATTCCTGATCAAGTCATTGTATTTTTCAATTTACCAAATCCTTCCAGGTGCACTATGACCTTGGGGTTGACTCATCCACTAACAGAAATGAGTACCAGGAATCATCCAGGCTATAAATGGCAGCCAGCATGTAAGGCTCAACCTCACCATGTATGAGCCAATTTTCTAGAAAATGTGGGAGTCTCAGTGTCTTACAACTCTATGGACCTCTGCATATTGTTAACAGGGTTAGGTTTACCCTTCCCCCCGTGGTATCAAGATCATGGTCTTGTTGGATGCAATACCATGTAAATGATAGATGGGTTCCACTCTTTTGCATAAAGTTGATGCCTCCCCTGAAAAATAATATCTTGTTCACCTAGAAATTGGATGTCATTCCATAATTTTGTAAATTAATGTTTATATATTCATTTTTTTATTATATCTTGGGATGGGGTGAGACTTTAGTACATCAGCCACTAACTGGGCTATTGTACCAGTCCCCAATGATGGATAATGAGTGTGGAACAGTCAGAATGAGAAATGGCAGGGGAAACTGAAGTACTTGGAGAAAAACTGCCCAGTGCCACTTTGTCCATCCCAGATCCCACATAATCTGACTTGGTACTGAACCCCAGCCACTGCAATAGGAAGCCAGTGACTCCCTGAGCTATGTCAGGGCCACAATGTCTGTATAACAAATTACTTCTGTCTGTTGCCTCTTGGCTCTATGGACTTGTAACAGCCTTGACCTCCTTTATGGCAGATGCTGTCTTTTGTATCTTTTGCCTCCAACTCTTCACTTTTATCTCTTTCAGATCATTTTTATAAGTATTCATTATAACTTTTCATTAATTATTTCCCCAAATTTTCTGTTGTTGGGTTTTATATCATCTAGAAGTAAACACAAAGAAAACTTCAGTATGTTGCTGTCTCATCACCAGGATACACGGCCAAAAATCATGACATATAAAGACAGCTAAAAGATGTTTTGAAAGTGTGTCACACTCCAAATATTTGGGAACGACAGTACCAAATCAAAACTTAAATTAAGAGGAGATTGAACAAAATGCATGTACTATATGTTGGTAGCTCAGAAATCTTCATAGCATTAGGATATATCACAGTATTAGAGCAATCATAGCTACTAAGCAGTTGAACTTCCCTGGAATTTCCTAAATATAAACGCCATTAACAAAACGAAATTCCCCGATTATGTTGGCATTCCTGTGAACGGATTCAGCCGTTGACGGAAGACAGTTCCCGAAAGTGATATGATTTAATGAACACGATTATACTGTTGGTTACACTTGAAATCATCGTTGAACGTAGCGTGGTAACGATTTATATAGAACGTAGCCTGTGGTTAGGTCAATTGAGCTCGGAATGCACATACTTTTTACGTTAGATTGTTCTGTGGAGTGTTTCTGAATTACTGGATGGCGTTTCATAAAATAAAATGGCGTCTTGAGGGCCACGAAAATTTGAAAAGGTGTGGGAATTTTGTTTTGCTCTCTTATAAATTTTTCATGAGATTTTGCATCACAGGAAGGTAATATTGACCTGCAGTTTCCACTTATACGTTCACGTTCATGAGTGAACTGCTTAAAATAACGAGTTAATTTGCATTGAGAACAATGCTCGGGGCTGTCGAAGGAATATGACCACATATCGTGTAGATGTGTTTTAGAATTGTGTCAGAATTAGTATGGTGGAAGTTATTGCAGGTTATGTGGTTGTTAGTATATCAGAATTATATTTGTTCAACGGGGAATGTAATGTTTACATATATATATTGCAAAGTAAGATTGTTAGTATGGTAAATTATAATAGGCCTGCTAACTTCCGTGATGACAGGTTAATTGTACAGTTGTGGAATAGCGTAGTTGTGTTTTATTCAAAGGGTCATTTACTCCGGAATGTGTGTGGTCCGTAGGATACGGGCTAACCAGACATCTGTATTAATTATAGTTTTCTTTTGAGGTAGCATGCAGAAGATATCAGACTTTTCGGTGATACTTTTTCCTTTTCGGTGGTACTTTTTCATTTATTGCATTGCATGTGAACAGAATAATAATTAGGTGCTGGGAAATGTATGTACATAATATGGAACAATTGTTTTGTTATGTAGGATTTGAAGTTCTCACAACAGTGGTTATGAAGAGTGCCATCTTCTGGGATATAACACTGTGTAGTCCCCTGAAAGTCGACCGATGTTTTTGAGGAAAATATCGCCTCCATCTTCAGGGTAGAATAAGCCGGGTAAGATACCTCTCAACTTTCCAATTGCTCCCAAGGTGGTGTATTGATCAGCCTATTTGAACCTGAAGATGGAGGTGACATGATTTTCAATGGACTACTCGGTGTTATATTCCAGAATACAGCACTTTTCAATTGTTTTGTTGTTTATGATAATTTGTTTAATTGGTATAGATATAGTTAAGCTGGGCTTCATGTGATCATAAACTTTCAAGTGGACATGTTGTAAACATTTAATTTCAGACAGTAGTTGCTTTTTTCACCAATTAAAAATACACTCCAGAATCGTGTTTTATATATTTTGTAGAATTATTGAGTGGCAACATAGTAAGAATTTAAAGATTTCATAATTCTAGATGCTGTAGGTATTAAGTTGTTAGTACTTTAAATGAGTGTTTTTCCTACATTATGGAAATTCATAGATTACAGTAATGTGCTTTCATGTTTTTGTAAACTTTAAATGTCTCAAGATTTCTGTGTTTATTGGAAACAAATGTTGTATTAGGCTTTGAGAAATGAGATTTGGTCATTTCCAAATAAAATCATTCAAAAGCTGTGTGATTACATAAAGTATAAATGCCTAAATAGCCCTACCTAAAGTAACAGTACCATCAGATTCACAGTAATTGTGATCAGAATGCCATATGGAAACCCAGTATCAATTTTTTCCTATAATATGTGTGTTCGAAGTAATCAGAAGAAGTATAAGAGACTGGTATTACCTAAGATGATACTTAGATGCTAGTAAGAAATTACAGTAGTTTCACAGCCGAAAAAGATGATGGTTTTCAGTTTCATTTCACTGACTGTAATTTTTACATTAATGTCAACAAAACAGTTATCTGTAGTGAGTTGAATGCCAACCTAATTTTTATAGAAATGGCCACCAGAGAAGGCTTCATTGCATGTAGTCACTGTGGAAGCTTAAAATCCTATAAACTAATTAAATGTCTGGCACTAGAATCAAAAATCCAATTCTGCCAATACAGAGTTTGTCATCAGATGTTATTTTGTTGTACATGACCCAGAAATTTATTCCTGAATCAGTCTGAAGTAACGTACTCACTTTTGAAATGCTGTGCATGTTGAAGAGAATTTATAAACCGTCAGGTTTATTGACATAAGTTTGTCTTTAGATCTGTCACTCCATTTGAAATATTGCCTGAGTTTGGAAAATCGTAGAATCTCAGTGTAGAACTGGACAGAAGTTATTGTGATGTGGTCCATTCATATTTAGGACTTCTGACAAGGCAGAATGTAACATATTGTAAAAGAGACTGCTGTCCTGAGGTATTGAAAAGTGATCCTGTATTGAGAGTCTTCTAGAGAATAGCCATATTAGTTAAGCCATACGTAGGAATTGACAAATGCACTGGTCTGTTCATGCTCAACAAGGAAGAGATCTATGCTGGTAAGCAGATAATTACATATTTTGTATTAAGTTCATGTATTCTAGACAAATATTCAACATCTGACGAGTGTAATTGTTATGTGAATAGTGAAGTAAGGTGACATTTAATGATAATTGACATTTTTAACATGAGAGTTAATACAGGAGTCATCTAGGTTATGGCAGTGGAGTTTTGTATGTGGTTATGAGCATTTTGGGGGGTCCTACAGCTTTTATCTCCATTGCACTTGATATGGAGGCAGTGTGTTCCTCTTAAATGTTGGCACTTACCCATGACACTACGTGGTATTACAACACATAAGACTGCAGACTTAGTGTAACATTTATTGGTCTACCATTAAATCAGTTTCATTGAGGCTAGCAACCAAACTTTAACTTGATTTTAGTGTTAGGTTATTGAATTAGAGATTTTGAACATCTTTGTATTTAGTCCGTCATTAATGCAACAATCATTAAAATATTCACCATTCAACACCAACACGACATGTTTCTGCCACAGACGGCCATCCTCAGGTGTTTTGACGCGTGTAAACTGTTACACTGTTTGGATGCGTGCTGAAATTGAGTGTTGCAGTCTACTTAAATTAAAATCTTTCGTAAAATCCTATCCACCTCGTAAGGGGTGTTGTCCACTTGTTTAAAGCTGTGTGATGCTTGTATTCCAAGCAGTTTGTTTCAGCAGCTACGCCTGTGATCTGCAATCTACAAATTGCGACATATTATTGTTTTCTGATTGTTATTATTTATGTTATGTTATGTTGACTTGCTTTATACTCACTAAGTACATAGACGTTTAATAAAGATGTGCAACAGGATGC